TGGAACAAGGTGGCATCCTGAAGGATCCGGCCTATGGTCTGTGCCGCTAGTGCAACCCTGCGGGTCAGTCCAAACGTGTTTTCAATCAATGCGTGGAGGCCCGGTCTCTGAGAGAAGTTGCATCGAGAACGGAACTCTTAGTAGAGATTTCGGCAAAAGCGCCGACATTATCTATTGGTTGGCCCTGAGGCCCTCAAGGCCCCTCTCGAAGCAAGGGCCCCATATCAGGTACCTATCAAATCAAGATTATGGCGGGGAAAGGTATTTTCCAATCAGCATCGCGCGTCGGGGGTGATGTTCAGTTGATATGTCTGGGTCGCGTAAGGTGACTTCTCATTTGTTGTCCTGCGTTTGCCGCCATCCTTCGAGACGCGTAGATAAGATTATTCACAGATTCAACCAATCTAAGAACCTGTAAAAGATGAATCTAAGGTCGAGTATCGACAAAGATAAGAAATCCAAAGCAGAATCGGAGAACTCGATCAGCATTGACTGGGATATTCAACGATGCAACGTGCGATAGTGGCGACAAGTGAGAATTCAGTAATATCCCTGGATACTAAGGTTATGACCCTGCTGTCTTGGAGTTCCTAGGAGCCAGAATTGGAATTAATTGGGTTTTAATTGGTTTGGGATGAGGGATGACGAGGAAGGATTCGTGGTGGACAGCACACGCAGACGCTTCTTTTGCCGACACTTGCCGCCTTGAAACGAGATTCTTCACATTTTCCCCTCCCCCTCCCAACGCTTTTCCCCCTCAACGCGGTTTAGGATCCAGGATGAACGATGCGTAAGCCCCGAATCTCTTCAACCGATGCTACCATTGCACTTCTAGCAATGAGTCGAACGGCAGCCGGGGGTCTGGATCCACAATTGCACCGCAACATGGCTGCGCTAACAGGGTCACGGCAGCGCGCCAAGTCGACGGACTGGTTTGACAACCATCTCCATCTGGATAGTAGGGAGACTTCTCATCCTTCATCCTATTTTGACTCTGGTGTGTGGGAAGATGATAGAACGCTGAATCATGTTTCTAGATAGTTACACTACTCATCGGCAGTCTCCGAATGGGGCCCCTATGGGATAGACGGTACCTGTCAACGGCCCTGAGTCGACGGAATGGCAGACTGTGGACCTGCATTGGTCATGCTACGATGGTGAAGCGAACTAGACATGGATCTCACGGCGCTAAAACGTAACTTATTCGGTGATACCGCTGGTAGCCGTCCGTCCAGGGTTCACCAAGGTCGTATTGCAGCAACCGCTGTTTGAGGTAGACGAAAATGGTGAAAACTTTTCCTGCAAAGGTACAGTCGATCCGACCTTATAAGGGGATCCTCACATGTCGCGATGTGCAGGCTTCTCGGATAATCTGATATTCTTCGCGATCTGCGCGATCGGCCTGATACCGTGACCACTGGACTGATGATCCATCTGTTCCTGACAATTTGCATGGGTTTCGGAGGGTAACACTCAACGCAGTATCGTCCCAAACCCAATTAGAATGCCCGAGGACCTGAACAAATGGCGAGGAGGAGCGGATGAGATGATAGGGACCGCTCCAGTAAAGGATTGCCCGCTCAAAGGGGCAAAGTCTCTTTGCGGCCAATGCACCATCTTCCCTCGAGAGATCTGCCCGAGTACCGTCGATTTTCCACTGCTAGCAGCAGGAGGTACTTTCCAGTACCCCCTCCCTTACGCAGCTCGCCTCATGATAAGCCTGGACAAATCATCCCTAGTCACCGCCACCCGACAGCGGGTGTCAATCCAATCCCACCCACTCTCGCCCCTCATCGCTCGCGCAGCTCCCACCCGATCCGGTTTACGCTGGGACCACAACAAGGGTCCTCCTGCTAATCATGTCCATCACCCCCTCTCGCTAAGGAGTCGGACGACGGTATCACGGTCCCCTTCATATCTTTCTAGAAGGTTTGCAGGGTGAACCGGATTGGTCACAATGTGCCGATTAGGAAACATTCTACCCCAGGTTCGTTATTACCCGCTGCGCCAATGGGACTGCCTATCTCGTCAACACCTGTCCACCTAACACCATTCTTCGAATGCTCAGTCTGGTGTGAGCGTTAAAAGGCCCATCCTCCTCCCCACTCAAGGAGTTGGATGATTTGCACGGGATCTTCATCGCTTGACCGCTGCTTTCTCTACGCTCAGCTTGTTCAAGAGCAATTGCTCCTCTTTGCCCTTGGCTTGTCCACCTTATTCCCGAATGATTGCTCTGTTTTAAAACTCTATTTTTTCGCACAATGACCCGAACCACAGAAGATGTCAAATACGAACATCCCTTGTGGGACCGCAAAGGCTTCGATGGGGCCGACGACGGTAGACCCACGATCGACGGGGACACTGCACGCCCGAAGGGACGGATCCGACGATCGATGACCGCGTGTAACACCTGTCGCAAGCTGAAGACCAGATGCGACCTTGATCCCCGCGGCCACGCGTGTCGCCGCTGCCTTTCGCTCAGGTTAGCATGCTCATCACCTTGTTTTCTAGTCGCCTTCCAGCGATTGGAACCAAGCATGACTCGTAGGAATCGCTAACATCCGTTTTCTTAGAATCGATTGTCAGCTGCCCGAGACGGCCGATCGCTTCCAAGACACTTCGTCAATGTGGTCGGAAGCGACGACGGCAATCCCGTCCATCGAAGAGCGGCTGATCTCTTTAGAAAAGAACATGAAGGAGATGACCGGGTTACTGCAGCAGATGCTGAGCCAAGCACCCAACCTCTCCGGCATCCAGGCGCCCCAATTAGCACGTAGTGTTCACACGGATGACTCGTCCACCTCTATGGATGGTGTATCATCCCCGCATTTACCCAGACCGGTTCGTCTCATACAGGACCTTCAATCCGAGTTGATGAGAGACACCGGGGGCTTCCGTGGTGATGGCCTTTCTCTGATCGATCATGTCCCCCAGGGTGCCATTGATCCCAAGCTATCGCAGAGATTGATTCAACTGTACGCATGATCACTTTCCTTTTTTTTTTCTCCAAAGAATTGGTTACCTTCTCCTATCTTTGATGTTACTCTAGATTGTCCACTGGTACTGACACATGACTGCAGATTCGTCGAGCACTTTGGCCGCTGGATCTCGGTATACAACACCACAGATCTTCATGACCTTCAACGAGCCAATCCTTTACTTTACAGCGCCGCCTGCTTGCTAGGGTCGCGATATATACCTGGACTACCATCTGCCGTCAGACAGGCCATCGGTCTCCAGGTGCGACAGGCAGCGGCCAGTATCGTATGGGAACGCCCCCCGTTGACTTACGAGTCGCTGCAAGCATTGGTACTTCTCTGTCTATGGCCGGCGACCGTCCAGAAAGAGCCACCGATGGATAGCTGGGTCCTAAGCGGGATCTCCGTCCAGCATGCGACCATCTCCTTTGGCTTCCTTAACTACGCTCCCACCGAGCTGATGGTCAACGACGAGACAGCTGTCCAGTTGCGCCTCTGGAATGCAGTCTGTCTGACGCAACTACAGTACGTCCCCGTACCCGTGTTCGAAGAATTTTGCTAATTACCCATCTAGTCATTCTGTTGGCAACGCCCGTCCACTGCAAATCCAGCAACGTCATCTGGACCACTGTCCCCGCATCCTGGACCACCCGGCTGCGACATTAGAAGATGCTCGGGTAGTGGCGGAGATCCAACTACACCTGATCACCTCCAAGATCCAGTGCAATCCGCTCTTGATGCAGACCAGCGATGTGGAATTCGAGGAGCTCGAACGGTGGAAGATGAAATGGGCCCACCTGCTCGGTATGATCCCTCCACCTGCCATCTGGCCTACACGTACCACCACAGGGGACTAACACACTTCCAGCCGGCGATGCACAGTCTACCCTCGAGCTCAGCCTCTGGTTCTGCCAGATCCTGCTCCACCGCACGACCATGCGAGTGCAGCGACAGCGCCCCGAAGACCACCGCCTGCCGACCGAGATCCTTCACAACTCACGGTTCATCCTCAACAAATTCCTGCGGACACCGTTCTCGACCGCGCTGTCGGCCATCGACCACGTTTACTTCGTGGTGGGCTACGCCGCACTGAACCTGTGCGATTTCAACTTCCTCGACCCGCTCATCGACCAGACCCAAGCCTTCCTACTACAACTCGGGCCGGATGAGAACCACATCGCGTACCGGTTCGCATTCATGATCTCGGAGTTCAAGCGCCGCTGCACAGACTGCCACGATGCTGCGTCGTCGGTCTCCTCGTCGGGCATCGTTGACGGCTCGCAGTCGCCGTTCGAGCCCGTGTCAAGCATGTCGCAGGCGCCGCCCTTCGTGCCACAGCTCGTGTCAGACGGCGACGTCGCCGGCCTGATGATGGACGGCGGCGGGTACGCCGTCCTAGACCAGCTGGTGCCAGAGTTCCTAGGCGCCTCTTCATATCCCGGCCACAGCGCCGCTGGCGGCGGTGTGCTAGGGCCCTTAGCCTGTGTCGGGGCCGAGGTCCCCGTCCCAGTGGGCCCATATCGAGCGGCCAGCTTCTAGCGCCAAACACAATCTGGGATGGCTGGCGGTAGACTATTGCCTTTTACGGAAGATAAAGGATCAGGTGGTGTTCATTTGGGCTCGCATCTTGTTTCGTTTTCTGACCCGCATATACGAACGAAGTAAGCTGGTCTTCTTCGGTTGTGGCTGTCAAAAAAAGACTTAACCCCGCTCCTGAACTTACCCAAATCGAGATCTCACCCGACGCGGCAGGTAGTCGAAGTCTGTTTTATCCGACCGACTTGACTGACTTGCATTTTTGTCGATTATTCCCCCCACTTTTTGCACTCACTTCCTTATTGCTGCTATTCCCACGCTTGATGGACGGTTTCATGGTTTATTTACTCTGGTTGTTTATGTTTGTTTCCCCCCCACCTTTCTAATATAGTATAGACACATCTCTGCTTGATAGGAGGTTTCTCGAATACCCATACCCTTTACCCGTTATTTTTGTTGGAAAAAGATCCCTTTATTTAGTTTGTCTATACGAATTTGTTTCTCGGGCAGCAGCTTTCTTCCTTTCTTTGATCAAATTAGGATTAGTCTGTAAAGGGATTGTATGTAGGTTGGTTGGGGAAGAAGGAATCGTTATCATTGGATATGCTGCGTGCGGAGTATACTCGTGCGGAGTATAATCGCCACACAGGAACCTTGTCTCGGAAGGAATGGGGTAGATTATTTGGAATATTAAATAGAAATAAATCAAATAAAATCAAATAATGAGTTGAACGAAAGATATGAAGGAAAATGAAATAAAATCGAATGAGTAAATAACAAATAAATGAGAAAAAAGAAAAGCAACCAAAGCCAAAACAGAACCCAAGGACGAAAGTCTCGATTGTATGATTAATATTAATAACAAGGCATGCATGCATGAATGAATCAATCAATCAATCATTCGGAGCAAGAGGATATTTCTCGAGTCATGTGCTGAACCCCAATGGCATGATCTGCCATCGTCTAGGCAGATAGATGGGTAGGTAGGTAGGTGCGTAGGTAGGTAGATAGCATCTTTCAGATGAAGTGTAGTGGCATCTGTTATCACTCGAGGCTTTTGTTTTGTCTATCTGTGTACGTATTTACCAGGTAGTATCTTCGTCATTCAATTCATTCATTCTTATCTGGTATGGCTTGCGAGTGTCATGCAATATAAAGCATGTCAACTAGCATATGTTTTATCTATGTGTTTCACTTGGAATGGATGGTGGAGAGGAAGAGTAAGATTAGAGGGGAGAAAGGAGTAACAATCAAGAAATTGGGAAAATCAAATCACAAAAGCTAAGGAATTCTAGGAGATACCTAGGTATGTGCCTATGCGTGTCATTTATGAGGTAACGTTGCAAGTTGGTTATTGTTATTTTCGTTGTGGGATATGGAATTGATTGATTGGATCTATATTGGTAAGATGGTGTGGTAACCATATCTGACTTGTTGTGTATATAGGCCATCTTTGTCCACACAAGTACATGGAAAATGTGCAAATGAAATGATGAAAAACATGAAGAAAAACAGACCGAACCGGACCGACCATGTGCGCCATGACATATAACAGAAATGTAAGAAACAAATAAATATGAAATCCCGGTTCTACCGGGTGACCCTTCATATGTATGTCAATGATGTTATCGACAAGATATGGTAAATGAACAGGTAGATTGGAAGCCGCCAGCTGATGATGGTTGAGAGAAAAAGGAAGGAAGAAGAATAGACGCTGGCGGCTGGACAGATACTGGGAGGTGATGCGGGGGTGACGTATGGGAGGGCGGAAATGAGAGTCACCGGATGAGAAGGAAGCGTATCTGTCGGACTTTTGAAGGTGAAGCGGTAGATGAAGAAAAAATTAAACACCCGAGGTCGACTCGGTCATAACCAAGAATCAAATGTACAAATTTACCAGGTTTCCTAATTTTCGTTAGTAAAGTTCAATGGCCGGGGTAGGTAGGGAGGAGACATACAGCAATATACTGGCCCGCTTCGTTCTTATTCTTCCAGAACAGCTTGGCCTCTTCCTCGTTCAGATTCCCTTTGACCATGGCGACGTCGACGAGGGCAGCTTCGACGCCCTCGCCCATGCCCTTGCCGCTACCGCAGACGAAGACACGACCGTCCAGCGCGTTGATAACGAACCAGACGAGATCAGCCTGATGGCGCACTTCTTCCTGCACGTACTTGCTCTCGCCTTTGCGGCTCTGCACGACGGTGCGCACCTTGGCTTCATCGACGCCCCATTCGCCGCGGTAGAGCTCGTCCAGTAGGGAGTCACGTACCCCCTGCAGCACCCAGACCTTGTTGGCGCAGTTGGCCGACTTCAGACGGCGTTGCACGAAGCCGCGGAACGGGGCGACGCCGACGCCGGCACCGATGAGGAGCATGGGCCCGTCGGACGCGAAGCGCGTGGCTAGCGGGTTCGCCATCAGTCCGCGGAACATGGGGATGTGGATGTCGAGCGTCGACGGGTCGATGCCTTGCTTCTCGGCGTCGACGACCTGGCGCGCGACGCGCTCCATGAAACCTGATCCGACGCCTGTGCGTTGGCCCCCCTTCCAGTCGCTTGACTCGGCGACCGTCACGGCTACCTCGACTAGGCGACGCTTCTGCGTGCCCTTGGTGGCGTGCGAGAGTAGGGGGTCTTGCGAGAGGGAGTAGAATCGGGGCATGAGGGTGTGGAGGACGGAGAGCAGGTGGTCCAGGGGCGGCTGCGAGGACGGGAAGGCGTGCAGCAGCTGGGACACGGTGACGTAGGATGCGGTGCGCAGGTCGCAGAAGGCGCCCTGGCCCTGGGCGGAGGCGAGGAACATGAGGATCTGTCGCTCGTTGGGTTCGCTGGCGTATTCGCCCAGCAGGCGGAAGAGGTCCTTGGTGGGGGCATAGCTCTGGATGTCGGAGCACCAGTTGAGAAGCTCGCGCCGCGTGGTGATCAACTCACGGGGCTGGTCGTCGCCCCAGATGGTGGGCCATCTGCCTTTGGTGGTGCGCATGCTGACCTTCTTGTCGCGCAGAGACTTGGGAATGCCCAGTTGGTTGAAGATGTCCTCCACTTCCTCCTCCTTGTTCATGGGGCACACGCCAATGGCGCCGCCCACGACGAAGTCGACGTTGCCTCCCTCGGTGGGGTAGTCGGTGATGTCGATGTCAAAGTGGTACGTGCGCTTTTCCGCGCCCGACCCGGTGAGCTCGCGGGCGTGGTAAACGGGGGCACGGTAGACGTCGTAGGGGGGGTGCGGTTGGACAAACGGAGGGGGGTGATCCGCCGGTCCGAGCTGCATATCGACCGCGGATGCGGGAATCTTGGAGAACGTCACCGTCTTTTCAGGGAGAGGGACGACGTTGGTCAGGGGACTGTCCAAGGTCAGGAGGTCCACGTTCAGCTCGAGAGCCCGGTACGCCTTGTTGTTCGGGGGGGTGACGCCATTGGAGCCCACGACGGGACCGATAGTCTGGCTCAAGGGCTGGCTGCGACAGCAACCACCTCCGCAGCATAGCGGCTGGATCTTCTGGGTACCCGCGGAACCGACACCCTCCAGAACTCTCCGCATGTCATCGGAGTTCTGGGAGATCAGCACGGTCGACGCCCGGCGCTGATGCCCGGTAGTCTCTGTCGACGGAAGCTGCTTCAGGCCGAGGTCCTCATCTGATGGGGGCTCCGTGGCGGGGGTCTGTGGGCTCTGGGGGTCGCTGCTGGTGCTGCTGGTTGTGGTGTCCTGGGACGATACGGAGGTAGCCGTGAAGGTCCGGTCGGTGATTGACAGTGAGCGGACACCGCGAGGTTCCTCGGGAACCGGGTTATCCGGGTGGGAGGTCGAGGAGACGGGAATATTCGGCCGGTAATCGCCATGACCGGTCGAGGCGCTCGGGGACCGAGAGGCCTTGTTCGCCGGCCGAGCGGGTAAAGCGACCGCGTGCACTGGTAGGTATTCAATCAGCCATTGTCTGTTGGCCGTACCTCGATGTGTACGGAGGATAGCAAGGTCGTCTCCTCGGGTGGGAAGAGGGAGGATTTTGCGACTACTTACCCATTCTGTTCGGTTGGATTGGGGGATGAATTGGGAGTCGAGATGCAGACCGACCAAAGATGTGTCGACCAGGAGAACTTGGGAAGTTTAAAAGAAAGTTCTCACGGAAAGGCAGGCCGAGAGAACGGAGGAGTGGTGGTATGATGGGGAGTGTCTTAAGATATGGGGCGAGCGGGAAAAAAAGCAAAAAGGATGAGAGCCACCAAAGCTAATTCACATAAGGGAGAGGATCAAAAGGAGGAACAGACCCGGGCGATTGGAGACTGGGTCCGTCTAGAAGATTGGAGGGGAGAGAGTTCAACAAGAAAGTCAGGATTGGAGACAATGAGGAGAGTCGATCAAGATGGAGGAAAGAGAGGGGAAAGACGGAGGGAAAATGGTGTGTCTTTCTCGGCTGAGGCAAACCGGCACCGGAATGGCGGTTCCGTCCAGGCTAGGTCGGCAAGGAGGAGAGACTAGGGGTGGATCCTCACGGTAATCTGATCTGATAGAATGGACCTGACGGTACGGAGTAGATAGGAATCAATCGTTGTTTATCTAATTCGGTAGTTAAATGTAGTCATGTCAAATGACCCAGATCATGAGAAGAATCTAGCTTATTTAAATGCCGAAAGAATCCAGATCAATCCGATCAAAGGGAAATCCTGACTGTCACACCGTCAAACCTGGAAAAATCAGATATGATAAGCATGATGAAAGCACTGTCGCCACCTCCGGCCGATACAGGACCATACCATCACCCGTGCCTTCCCGAGTGGTCTTCCTTTCTCATTATCTTAGATAATCCTCACGCATCATTGGGAACCTCATTCGTCAGGGAAATACTCTTACCCCATACTTTATAAATACTCCTATTATCTATATACGACATCCCCATCAATTGTAATCGTGCAGTAGTTGCATTGAGTGGAAGGGATTACCCTAGCGGGGTAAGATTCGCGACCGGCGTAATGATCAATACTGGAATGTTAAATACCGTCACCGATCTAATCTGATCCGGGTGCACGCATCCCTTCCAGCCGGAGATTGTTATTCTCGACTGGACCTTTGCCCTGCAGGGTCATTGTTATCCCCTGTAGATGAATTGTCAATACAAAAGAGATCGATATCAATATATCATGTTCAATTTCTATAGCAAGGGGAAAGGCTGTTATCGGCGACTGGATGTTACGACGCAACCGAGGTCGTAGTCACGTGATGTCGGAGGTTGCAGGGTCCGGATCAGATAACTGACGGTGACCGGGTGGCACGACAGCCTCCCATCCAGACCGGTCGGTGCTGGGATACAAGGATACATGCTGTTTTATTTATTATTTATTTCCTTTCATTAATACACTACCCTATGTACAATCCCCATTCCTATCCCTATCTTAAATCATAACACTCATGAAAACATATGGTGATCGTCTTCCCGGGCTTTCCGGCCTCAGGCTCATGTGACGGAGATTGGTGGGCCCACCCAATCCCAACAAACGAAAGGGTCGCACACGGGATCATATCAATCAGATTATCCATCTGATTAGGGTCTCCCCAATGAACCTCGTCCTCACCGCTCCACTTTGCATACCAACACCCCTTGAATTACAATTATACGATCGTTCACCTACTTACCCTATGAGGGTATTAACAGGGGCCTCGCCAAATTCGTCCAAGTCAGCCCACGGGGAACCCTGCCTCCTCTATAGTTTACCCAGTAGGTCAGTATGGAGTAATCGGCATCATCAACAGCCAATCGTTCACCCACGAGGCAAAAGTGAGTCCGTCGGGGCTTGACCCTCCCACTTCCTCCAGATCAGGTATAGTATAGTACCAGGTATCTAAGCCCGAGCTCTCTCCTGCTCTCCAGTCTCCCCAAAGGGCCAAAAGCAAAAAAAAGGAGGGTAACTTCTTTCCGTCTCCATCCACGATGTTTATTTAGATTGATCGTCGTTGCATGCATGGGGTTCGTTCCACGCTGTTCTAGAGAAGTTCCTAGTTCCCTGCGCGATCGGAGTCTAGGTTCTGACGTTGGATTCTTGGGAGCTTCCAGTGTGTCGTGGTCGAAGTTAATTTGGGTGGGGAGGTTGAGAGGGTAAAGATTGCGAAGTGGGGTTTCTTTTCTTTTTTCTTTGCCTTCGTTTTCTTTCTTAATTGATTTTTGTGTGGTTTGTTACAATTTATATTTTCTCTCCTCTAATTGTGAGGGCCTTCCTATACTATCGTTCGACGGCTATTCAGTCGGTTGCTAGAGCAGGATAACCGGCCACGTTAACTAACAGCCATATATAGATTATATAAGTTGACAAGAACTTGGGCTACTTCATGAGAGATGTGTCAAAGAACAATTGATCAAGATGATGGTAATACATATAATATACCACACGGCACGCTATGACTAGACATCGACTTTGGCCTGATATGCGTACACTCAAACAAGATACTGTAGTTCAAACATTGAAACTTGCCTGTCTGCCTTGCTACCTACCTCGTATCCACTCCTTCAAGGCTCTCGCTCCACTTTAGCCTAGTCTTTCTCGTCTAGCGTTGGGGTTCTGTTAGCTCAGTGATGGCTTCCCGCACAGCCTGGCCAAGCCTAAGCTGTTGCAACCGCCGTCTCGCTCTCAGAGTATACACTCTCAGCCAGGATAATTTTGTTCGGTAAACTCACCTATCTAGTCTATCTAGTCTATCTACTGAGTTTAGAGATTATAGGAGAGCGCCAATGGAAATGGTAAATATTGATGTTTATGGTAATTTTTGTGGAGCTATTCCTAAGACTATGGAAGTTGCAAGATATGAAAATTCAAATAACCCTTGCGAGAGAAAAGCTCTACAAGTTGGCCAATGTACTGGCTGATTGCATTCTTTATACTCACGTGAACGAGACAAGTTATGGGTTGTCCAGCACCTGTAAGTACTGGCCGAAATTTGCATGAGCCCATTGTCGCGCGTCCGACAAACATTTCTATGAGGAATATGGGGAGAAAGGAGAGCACAGCAAACAGTGTGAGTGGTGTTCGCTCTCCAATAGTGATATATTCATTGTAATCTGGAATAAACATGGTTGAGTCAGGATAACAAGGGATGGGGGCGTGAGGTTGCATCACAGTGATCTATATAATCGTTAGTTCACTGATTTCAATCCTCCTAAAGTTTGAATACCACATGATATAAGCACGGTTAGATTACGGTAGTACTCAGTATAAGGGTACAGGCTTGGAAAACATACCACGAATGATACGGATAGCTGGGGTCAGCACATAAGTACAACCCAACTGATCAATAAGAAAGTTTCAGTGTTCAAAGCCAAACTGTAAAGGGCGTTGGGGTGCAGAACTGTCGATGAATTAGCAAAAGATATCAATGATATTGATGATTCCTAGGGCTATGAAAAAATGCGAATAGTTGCAAGATTAAAAGCAACACGAAGAGCCAAAACGACAATTTATGTGGGAAGCACCGCATGTCAGCTGACATATTAGCCGATTAAACGTCTCTCAATCTCAGATGAGGGAGCCAAATATGGAGATGACGGTGTGCCAGCACATGGAAGCTGGGGTCTGCATCTGGTCGATCAAAATAGCCACAAATCAGGGTCTGAACGATTAGCTTACGTATCTGCGGCTGACCGTCACAAAGGCACCTGATTTACAAGGTGTTTAAGTATGTTTCATAGTAGAGGAGGCAGGATGTGTTGGTGGGAGAGGACCCTGCGGTGACCGGATTATGTCTCACAGAGGGAAGTGTGGCTGATTCCAGGGACGTGTAGTGCCAGAAGCGCTGGATGCGGAGCATAGTGGGAATTGTTCCTGTACGATGACGTCCCGTTTGGTCGACTGAGCCACAGCGAGGCTGACAGGAGGGTCAGCTCGGTAGACAGAGGCTGTATTCCTTCGAGGCTCCCGACTTCCTGGGGATTATCCATCTAGTAGATCACTCAATTGGTCAGCACTTAATACGATATGGCCAATGAAAGGGCCCGGTGTCGATTTGGGTTGGCATCCCTGTTCGAGGTTAAAATATACCGGGCCAATCAGCCTGTGCTGTCTTCCTAGCTGATGGATCGACTGCATCCAACGGTCGAGTCCTCTACCAAGCTAGGGCATTTCGGGGAAGCGCTAGTAGTTCCCATGTACATAGCTCTTACTCTTTTGGTGTACTTCGTAATTGAGGCTGACTTTGGGCACTTGAAGAGTGAGTGTTCAATGACGTTCCTGGTCTCTCAACTGAACATGAAGTAAGTAACAACTTGACTAACGGTCATAACAGCCTAGACTTAGCGACGATTCTAGAAACCCTAGATGGCAACATTGGCCGATCTGTCCTGTTTGCATCTATCTATCTTCAGCTGAACTGATGCCTGTAGCATTGTGTCTCAGGCTTCTTATTTGTCACCACGTACAATATCTCAGGCATCAACGGCCAATGATGACAGTGCCAGAAGTAAATAGTCATTTACATCCATTCAGCCTAGTGATGTTGTGATGACTCGAATATTTATATATACCTCGTCCTCTCTATCCAGAATACTCATTCAACAACAGCAATTCTCTGTTGAGGACGACGGATTTGTCTTAACTGGTCTAGACAGACATCCACAGGTATAATGCAGCATCGAAGAGCCGGAAGGCCCAAATCTCGTAACGGGTGCAGCACCTGCAAGTACGTTCTTCAACCCAATTCTCCTGACAACCATCAACTAACATCGGTAGAGCTCGCCACGTCAGGTGCGACGAAGACAGACCAGCCTGCGGACAATGCGTCAGTACCGGCCGCAAATGTGACGGATACAACCCCGGCCTCACCCAAAAACAGCTGCACGAGAATGTCCTGGAGGCCTACCAACACCGTGTTCCTCCCAACCCCGACAACCGGATCGCCGTCTACCAAGGCACCCCCGAAGAGAGGGAGTACGTACACACCTTCTGCACACTGACCTCGCCCGTCTTTTCGGGGTTTTTCGTCTCAGAGCTGTGGGGCCATCTTCTCCCACAGCTCAGTCACACTGAGCCCGCTGTCCGCCATGCCATCACGGCTGTCGCTGCCGCCCATCGGCGGTATATTGGCATTGCAGGATCCCAGGGCAGCGAAGAGGAATTCATTCTGCAGCAGTACAACAGGGCTATTCGCGTTCTGGTCGATGGCCACCTGTCTACGGCACAGAGAACGCACACCAGCCAGCCAAACCTCACCCTGGTGAACTGCTGTCTGTTCGCATGCCTGGAGATGCTCCACTCCAACCACCAACAAGCCCTCGACCACGTCGACGCTGGACTACAGCTCATGTGGCAGGACCAGAGTGCCCATAGGGGCCCAGGCAATCTCCCCGTCCTTGACCTCGAGCTATGGGATCACTTTTCCCGGTTACACATGGATCTCGCGATGTTCGGACACAGAACATGGCCATCGGTGGTGGGGAGCGAAGAAGTGCATATCCCGCGCTCCTTCAGCGATATCACCCAGTCGCGGCGAATTCTGACCAAGCTGATGAACAAGACGATGATCGCTTCGCCGAACACGAACCTACAGCCCCTGCTACTTCATCCAAACATGCGAGAGCACGATCAAGGGTTTCTTCAGTCTCAGCATGAGCTGATGACTCACCAGTCACTGTACGCGGCGTGGTCAGACACGTTCAACCGGTTCTTGCAAACAAGACAGGGCAAAGCCGCTGACCAACGCTCTGTGCTTGCACTGCGCATCGACCACCACTTCGCCATCCTGTGGACTCTTTCCACCACTGCAATGGACGAGATGGAGTACGACAGGTATGGTTCATATTTTGAGAATATTGTCCGCATGGCCAAGAATTTATTGCATCTTGAACGGTCGGCTCAAAATAGCGTCTCTGAAATGAGACCCTTTTGTCCTGAGCCGGGTGTTTTGCGCGCCTTGCAATTGACCGCCACTAAATGCCGGGACCCGTTGCTGCGACGGGAAGCACTCCGTATCATGTCGGATAATCCCCGGAAAGAGAGTGTGTGGGATTGGAGGCGGTCGGTCCGGCTCGGTAAATTCTTTATTCGGGTTGAGGAAGCTGAGCTACGAGATCTACCGGTGAAGCACCGAGTGCCGGGGGAGCGGAACAGAATTGTACATTACCAGGTCTGGGACAATTGGGGAGCCAGCGAGACTCGGGTTCAGCTGTGGCTCTGGTCGGACTGGTCCAGGCGTGAGTTGTCTTGTTCGGTGGAAACGGTAGATTGGTTGTCATGAAGTGGACAGTGGACCATGGCACAGTCCAGGAGATATGGTCTGGCACTTTCAAGTTGAAACCTACCATGCCCACGAGGTGTGACTAAGAGATGAGTGGACTTGAGGAGGATCAGGTGAGTTTTGACAGGGCATTTCACTCTGTACCACTATTTTTAGAGCCAAGAACATTTCTATACACCAGGCATTGGTATAGCAAGTACTGTTGTACATCAGATTAGCTTTCAATAGACTGGACAATGACACAACTGGACAATGACACAAAGCTCGAAAAGACCAGAATATTACTGGTTAAACGATAACAAGCTTCTGATTGTGCATCAAATACTGACCTAAATTTGCAGAGTGGCTAAGATATGTGTACATTAAAGTTCAGGAGGCTATATCTTATCCACCTCAAATGCGCCATCCTGTCAATGACTGGATCCTGCTATTTTCGTAAGCACTTTATTTGTTTCTTGACAATCAACAGCATCCGAGTCATCGAGATCGAGTGGTCATCAGCGTTTTCTTTTTTTAGATTCTTAACCACGTACATCATAGGCGTACTTTGCACGGCGCCACCACCATCAGGGACATTGTATATGATGTAATTGAGAATTTGTCTCTCAGGCAATGCTCTTCAATTCTCACACAATATCGAAGGCGAAAAATTCAACTCGTGTGGTCATACAGATGCAATGGATGGAAATAGTCAGCATATTAGATCATGGCTCTGGACTCTTTATAGACCCCATCAATCCTCAGTCGCGGCAAACCAGACCTCCCAAATTCCATTCAGCAAATCCATAACTGATAAAAGGAATAAACTCATCTAACACAAAATGCGTTTTTCGTTCGTGTCTGTCGTTTCCCTTCTTGCTCTGGGCACTCTCAGCAACGCCCTGAAAATCCGCGACGGCTCCGGCCAGGGCGTCGAGGATAGTGGAAGCACCCAGAACGGCGATGACAGTGGAGATGCCGCGAATGGTGAATCCAGCGGAGACATGGCCAACGGCAATGGCATTGAAGACAGCGTACAGGGTAACGGCAGCGGGGACTCTCAGAATGGCAACGGCAACGCGGACCCGCCCAATGGCAACAACAACGGAGATCCCCATCACGACGACGACGACGACGATGACGATGATAACAACAGCGGCATCAAACGCATTTGCCCCCAGCTAGCAACCCAAGACAAAGGCTGCGTTCGCTACACACGAGGTTTCGACGTCACCGGCGTCGTCAGCGAAGTCGACCTCGCCTTCCCCGAAGTCGCCAGCGAGTGCGACTGCATCCAAGCGTGCCTGGACATGCCCGGGACCTGCGCCAGCTACGCGTGGACGTTTTCCACGGCCGACGCCGTCGACTCCGGCTACCGCACTTGCACCTTATACTCCGATTTCAATCTCCCCGGCAGCGTGGCGATCCAGTTTGATCTCGAGAGCGCCAATAACCAGAACATCAACGCGGCGCAGATCACGTCCGAGGGAGCGAATCCGGATATTGGCGGCCCGGTTCCTCAGGCCTTTCAGGACCTCGACAGTCTCGTTCCTGATCCTGATGCGGTTTCTGGCCCCGTTTGGCTTCTTGCTAATGGGGAGGTGCAGTGTTAGTGGGCTGTGTGGGTTTCTGGGTGGTCTTCCCTATCGAGTGGGATTGGAGGGCTGATGGGTATTGGTGGTTGTAATGTGGTTTGTATTGGGTGTTTCAGAGAGGGATCGTTGAGTCGAGAACCTTTTTGATAGGTGTTTTGACGGTGTTATATTCAAAGATAATTGATGATATTTGGCTTGATAGTGTTATAAGATAGTGTCATTACATACAGTATACTTTAAATCTAATCCAAAGCTATAAGATATCGTTGGCATATTGATTCTGGCTCTCCTTGATGCGCTCTTGCGGCAATTAGGGCCTTAATTACTGACGATGTTAATGAGGGGTAGACATCCCATGATTTGTTTATAAACAACAGCATAACGGAGCTAGCAATGTAGTGTGACATCTCAGCGATATTGTTACTCATGGTCTGTGAACTCTCCGTTCAGATATCTGGTCCCTTTCAGCCGTGCTTCAAGCTATATGGTCAGTATTCCAGGTATTACCAGGAGAAAGATGCCTCGGATGTCCGCGCATCAGGCCAGAAATTCTGAACAGACTCACTGAACATCGAAACTTCAAATTGACAGCATTCTTATTTAAAAGGAAATACTAGACGGCATGTGCAAAAGAATGTTCCTATTTCGCCCCATATCCCATTGGTTCTGTATCCCGTCAATTCCAATGTTTCATGCCTGACCACTGTTGCCTTAGGATACACCCGCTAGTACAGGGTGATCTGGAGCTCCGAAGGAATTGAGTTGATCAAATGGGTTATCCCAACTAATCACTATCCCTGTGGAGAGGACTATTGACATGCTACACACAATAACAATATAGAACAGTAGATGGAATTAAATCCATGCAGCCCTACTCTTTAGCTTCCTCTCATTTTCCGTGAAGATTTCTAAGTCAACCTCAACTTGCCTGGCTAGCTCAATCGGCAGAGCGTGAGACTCTTAATCTCAAGGTTGCGGGTTCGACCCCCGCGTTGGGCTTTTTTCTTTTTCTTTCCTTCTTTTTTTTTTTTTTATTTCGTTTTTGCTTTCTGTCTGCCATATTACTGTTTCATTTTTGTTCGCATCACTCCCTTATCGTGGAGATGCTGCCCTCATAATGGGGCCTTTTCCGGAGCATATATATCCTTGGGTGTGAACCTGCTGCTCGATACTCTTATCCACAGGCTCCAGAAAGCAACTAACTCTCGCCATGCGAGAACATACCACTATGCTCAGTCTCTGGCGTCGGGGTCTCGCGCCCCATGCCTCGCCAACAGCTCCACAATCTCGTCACTAAGCCCTCTCCTCCTCGCCAGTTGCAAAACTGACAGCCCTAACGAGCCACTGTTAGGGACATCGATCCCCTTGCCCACCAGATACCGCACCAACTCCTCACTTCCTCTATCGACAGCCACACAGAGCAGGTCCCCGTGATGCCCTACACCGTCATGGATACACCCCGGATATACCTGCTCCAGCGCCTCCCAGACCCCCACGCCGCCTTCGGCAGCAGCAAGTCGGAGGCCTAGGGATAGCTGGGGTCCCGGTGGGTACTGATGTAGGAGATAGCGGAAGAGAGGGGCGTTTCCGGCGTAAGCGGCGGAGTGGAGCGCGATTTGGGGAGCGTTGGGGAGCCGTGGGGTGAGGTAGGTGAGGAGGGGCTCGAGGCCCGGGACTGTGGCGACGCGGGAGGCACTGTCGAGGAGGTCTTCGTCGCGTTCGAGGAGGAGGTCGTGTAGGTCGGTTGGGGCTGTTGGGGTGGTTACTTGTTGGAGGATTGCGGAGTCGAGGGTTGGGGAGGGAGGGCGAGGAGGAGACCTGTTCGGTTGCCTAGTTGGTCGGTATCTGTTATTTGCGTCTACTGGCTTGGAGTAATCCCGGTGCTGGAGGGTATAGGAAGTACCTGTCGTGTGACATCGGGATGATGTTTTGGTGGGAATCGCTTGGCTCTGGATGACGAACGAACTAGGACCTGGAAGGACCAAGGGTGACAAGCGTTGAACCCTATCTTATGGTTTTTGCTATTAGGTAGTCTCTGAACAGGGCGGGAGTCTCCGGCTTTGACGCGAAACCCCAAGGTTGACAAGATCGTTCGTGTCAGCTACCAAAGCCCATGCGTGAAACGCACCCTTTGGACCAAAGGCGATGGCCCGTCCAAACAAGAGCCCAGGGGTCGGAGAGGCCCGACCAAACCTAAGAAGCACCGTTTGTTCTAGGGCAGAGAGGACGTGATGGTTTACTGGTATACTAGGTGATTTCGCTGTGAAGCTTAGTATTGTGCAAAAGCTACACTTTACAGGTAGTGCACTATGTTTGGAATGGATCTTTGTAATTGTGAAGATCATAGTAAGTACATTGAGGATTTTCAAGACGGTTGGATATGATTTGAAATTCCCAGCGAAGTATAAAGCACGTCAGGTGACCCGATTACCCTGAACTTGTCGTCCTCCACGTACTCCACTACCTTTTCTACAATCACCTACACACATTCACAATTTCATCATGTCTTCCCATCATCATTAGGTCCCAATAAGCAACACCTGTATACCATACCTTCCAAGCAGAAACAGTCATGCGACAATTCAAGAACGAGATATCATAGATACGGGACCTCGCTGGCCCTCACTTCGCCGGTACTTCCTGTGGCACGTAGCTAATTGTGATTAAGCCCCCGCATCAACAACTCCCAAGAGCGGAGCAATGCCTGCCAAGTGTTGATATCAGACGATCTCTGGGGTAGTCGTATCATCGGATATCGATCTATACGTATGCCAATATCGGCAAGCAGAGCTTAAGTCTTATGGCTTCGAAGATCCGAAAGGAACCATAAGCATACACACGAGTGAGCAAATCAGGTTAACGTACCTGACATGGGGCCATTCTGCATTCCTGAATCACTACACCGGAGGTATTCCAATAGCTATTGTCGACAGAGTAGCCTCAACTGCGCTGTTAAAGCCCTTGTAGGCCACATCGCGCCATATAACCCACAGATAATAGCAGAGCTCCATCCACCGGACGAAGGCGTTGATAGCAGTCAGATAATCAGTCATCATATCAGACCCATTCGTAATGATTGGAAGACTTTCGAGTATAACATCATCAAACGATCATTGTGGCTGTCTTTGTCTTTGCCTTAGGCTTCTGTCCCCATCGTTCTTTCCTTTCTTATAACGGTACTTCCTCGACGGCACCAGTGCGTCCCATTCTGCATCGCTATCTTTGTCTACCTTCATCGTCTTGATTCCCCTCAGTTGCCCGTCTAAGTCTAGAGTCGAGAATTTGTTGAAGTATAAATCTTTTGATATATTCGCTAGACACGTCCAAATTGTCTCTCGGTCTGGATAGTCATGCTTCGCCGATGAAGGCAATTGCGTCTTTCAAACCATGAATCCGGTTCTCGTGGAAGTCTTTACTCTGCTGGTTATCTGGATCTAGGTCGAAGTCAGCCATGCTCAAAAGGGACCATGTGTTTCTGTTCTCCTCTTGCCGATAGACTGAAAAAGGTGACATGTAACTGTGGAGATTGACTTGACATGCTGCGCGATGGTCTTCGACGGTGACTTTAAAGATGCTAGAGTGACCTCATCTGCGGTGCTCCATCTAATCATGTGCGTGAGGCTCTCATTTTGATGAATAGATTGAAAGTATGAACGCTACATTGAATCCAGGATCCTTAGTCCCGCTTGCATCCGAGATATGCACTTCTGTTTGCCATTCTTAGGGCGAATCTATGGAGGTCGGCACGGGTCAATCCCGAGAACGATGGGTAAACTAGGAGAACACCGGTAGCAACGAAAATGAGGCAAAATAACGACTCTCTATAGAGTCATGTGGATGTTGTCATGTGTTACGACGAGACAGGGCAACTAAATAAAGCGATCAATGAAGCTCCTTTCCCCAACCGACCAATAGCTCGAAGCGACTTATGGTTTTCTTCTCTACCACAAGCGCACGCAACCATTACACCTCTGGCCTATTCTCAATAATTGACAAGCAACGCCAGAGTTCCGATCAAGGGCCAGTTGAGCTGCGGTGCTTTGTGATGCAAGGCGCCTCCTCAACTTGAGCATTACTAGGATCAGCTGGCGCGAAAGTTATCAAGGCCTCAGATTCATGATCGCATACGTCCTACCCTTCGCGACCAAAAGGCCCCCTAGGAAACCATTTCGAAAGCACTCTATCTCTTGCGGATAAATAACTGGGACATGTAAATCCAAGTCCAACGGGTCAATGAGCCGACTGACGCATCAACGGCTGATGAGTCCAAAAGATGATGGCGCTGAGTTCATTGAGGCTGAGATGGATGGCTGCTCGAAGGAGGGTTGCATCGTTGCATGGTCCGAATTTGAAGGAAATGAGGCTATCCAAAACCGGGCTCAATTTGCGAGCCTTGCACCAGGAAACCCGATTATTGGTGGTTTGTATAGAAAGCCGTCTTGGTATGCGGGGCAGTCACCTTCCACGACAGGGGGGTACCTGCACAACACGAGAGTAGCGGCGGGGATGGTGATATTTATAGACCATACAGGCTGTCAGCCATCACCCAAGATCTCCTACCTTCTGATTGTCGGGGCTTTTTTTGAGACCATAGTATGCCTCGAGATCAACGTTTGACCCCACCTACAGTTGATGAAAGTTTATCCAAAGCATGCAAGGCTAAGCCAGCCGACATTTTGTGCCTGTCATTGGCGGCATGTGTTTCACGCTGGCTCAATCAACATATCATCCAATCTGCCAAGCTTCTAGACCTTCGCGGCCTCACACTCCGTGGAAGAATCTCTGATATGACATGCCCAACTCCAATGCGAATCGAAGGAGCGGGGTATTATTGCTCTCAGGGTTCAAATTTCAGCTCGAACGGCCAAGCCAAACCCTAACTAGTCATCGCCCAAGAACGTCTTCAATACGAGAAACTTTGGGATCGGACTGGTCAACAGCCTTCCTGATGTAACAGTGGCTCTGGGCACACGCTTGGTAGCTGATACTACTGGTGATTCTTCTAACCGACCCTGCATGCAAGATTGCCTACCTCACTGGGCGCTCGCATTCCAGATATTAGGATGTACGGACTTGGAAGCTGAACAAATAGCAATCATGCGTTTCATGCTTCGGGTAGAATTTCCATCTCAGCGAAGACGAGTGACTTCGTATTCAATGGCATTGACCAAGATTTCAGGCACAATGGCTTACAGCCTTCTGAAGATGGCTTTCCCAGAACTGCGTCAATTGAGGTCAGTGGAGAGCTGACTGCAAACTGGATAGCACACACCCTAGAAAATGAGGGACTCACGGGGATAATGGGAAATCTATAAATCCCGTGTTGCCCGGCGACATTGGGTGATATGGATTAAGCAGGTGTACATCATTGCCTCTTGAAGGGAGACACCATGAATCGGTTCCTACTTTCTTTTGCCATTCTATGGCTGGTCAGCATTGTTTCTGCAGTACCAAATGACTTGATTGATCTTCATCCTGTTCCTCGTCATCTCTGGGACACAGCTGCCTTCGCAAAGAGAGATGATGCTGGCAATAGTGTGGCTTTGCAAGACCACGGAGAGTTTATGTGGGCATCCGGTAAAGGTAAATCAGACCTCTACGGTTACGTGACATAGTCCATCTATGCTGACCATCACTCTAAGATGCCAACACCATGGTCACTGCCGTCAGCATGGTTGTCTATTCCAAACAGGACGAGAAGATCCTCGATCTGGACAAGCTCGCCCTGGTCCTGGAGTCGGTCACCTGTGGCGAGAAGATGGCCCTCAAGTTCAAAAACAAACTCTTCTACGCTGCTGCCAAGATTGCCTGGGGCTGGGTCAACTTCAACGACCAGCGAAGCTTCGTCGTGGTCGCTAACTGGAAAGGATGCGGCGACCCAAAGGCGCGCAACCCGTGGGTGGTCAGCAACGCCGCGTTCAACGACAAGACGGCGACCGTCACGCTCGACTCCGTCGAAAGCACTTGGCAGAAGATCTCCAACTCTTACACCATGGACTTTGGGGACATCATGCTCGGCGATTCTGGCAAGGACAAACGCTGGCTGGACTTCGACCTGAGCAAGGCCTTTACCGTGGACCTGAGCTCGAAGTTTCCGTCCGAGATTGCCAATTGGACCCTGAACACACCCTACGTGGACGCTCACCTCGCAATCACCTGCGACGACTGTGGCACCGAGGGCACTGTGAAGTTTGCTGGTCACATTGAGGGCAGCGTGTTTGGCGGTCTCGATAAGCTAGAGGTGTCGGCAACTCCGCACGGGGTCTCGGCGCATGTCGGCGTGAGTCTCGATTTCCACGGTGACGTCGACTTCGAGGGACTGCCGGCACCCGGTGATGAGTTCACGCTACTGGAGCTGCCGTTGCCGAGCGGTTGGCGAGTCCCAGGCGTACTCACGTTTGGACCGAATGTCAAGATCAATGCTGGGTACACAGTCGAGAGGATCATCGGAGACGCCCACGTGAGCACTGGAATCACCGCATCGATTCCGGATGACTCCGTTGCCAAGGTGGATCTGGCCAGCAAGAAGAAGGTTGACATCTCCGGTTGGAAGCCAAAGATTGAGGCCGATCCTCTGGAAGTGTCCGTGCAGATTGACGCCACGGCGCACCTGTACACCGAGGTTGCAGTCGCGGCTAGCATCGAAGTCTTGGGTAAGCCAGCGTTCTTAACGTGCTGACTGGATAATTAGGCTAATCCAATCGCTCATAGATGAGAATGGTGTCAATGTGGAGATTGGGATCAAAGTCCCCGATATCACTGTCACCGCGTCTGCAGGATACAGTGAGTGCTTGCAACGTCCATCAGTTCCCATGTCACCGAGCTAACATTGTCACAGATGTCGAAGGCTTCTGCAAGGCGGAGCCAGAAAAGCCGTTCGGCGTGAAGCTCGATGCAAAGCTAGGCGCCAGCCTGGGCCTGCAGGGGTATACCGAGCTCAAAGGCGATAAGGACATCTTCCTTGACCTCACCATCTTTGAGACTCCTGCACTGTATACCTTCCCACAGCTGTGTCTAGCTTTTGGTAAACAGTCGCCTGGAGCCTGTATTCCCGAACAACACACTTTCGATCCAATCGATTCATTCCTTCCAGGTGGAGATGACTCGGATGATGAAGAGGCTGATGAAGAGGCCGACGTGTCCAAACGCTCGGTGACTTTCGTCAAACGTGATGAAAGAAGCGCGAACGACAATAGGGCACCCTATTACTTGGACTGTGATACCAAACAAGATTTCTCCATACGGGGTCAGAACTACCAGGGGCCGAGCAAGTTGAAGAAGAAACGGTATAATGTTCCTATCATGAAGCCCGGGATGAGCTGCGCGGAGGCTGAGTCGGAGACGTGTCCCGCTAAACAATGGACTATTGACGCGCTTCCAGACGACGCGACTGATAATGACCGAGCTGTCGTGACGGAGAAATGGGCATGTATGTCAATCCTATTGATAAAATCTTTTGACATGAGTCCAGAGTGGCTGACAATTTTTCAGCGGAGCATATATACGAGGGGAACTGGATCCGCGACTTCATCGCGGAGGTAATCAAGAGCTACCCTAAGCTACCAGATGACGCGGACGTTCAAAAAGACAGGAAAGTGTGCAAGGGCGCCGTCGACACCTTTGGTCGCGCATTGACCGCCAAAATCGACACCCCGACACCGAAAGATGCGGCCAATTACTCCGAGGCGTTGATGCAGAATATCGCGACGTCATGGACCAGCCGACAATTGATGGCCGTCGTTCCGCAGATCCAGAATAGCATGAAATACGACGTAAGACAGGACTTGGCTCATCACGGTGACCCAAGCTCAAGATCGCACTAACTGTAGATAGATGTTCCAAGGCAATAACATGATCGGGGATTTCGAGAAGAAGAAGTTGAACCAGCAGGTCTGCTCGCTCTCGCGTGCTGTCACTGTCTGCATGTACATGAACCACAAGAAGATACGGGAGCGGATGGTGAAGACGATCGGCAGGATCGAAGAAGTCTTGTGCGGCTGACTCGCTCCTAAACCACAGAACAAGTTCGCTAACTACTAAGCAGGAAGAAGCTAGACGACGACAAAGAGGTTTACAAGCCCGCCGATATCAAATTCGTGGAAGCGCACCAGAAGTGGTTCGAGGGAGTGTATAAGAAAGGGTTTGAAAATGCCCGAACACGGTTGGCTGACTATGTGAAAAGCATCCCGGCGGCAGATCTTGGCAAGCTCGACCCCGACACAAGGAAAGCGGTTGAGGGTGCCGCGAGTAACTGCGAGATGGTCTGGCCGCTGACTAAAGGTCTTGACGCTTCTTCGGAGTGATCTATATACCTTATACCGATGTATCTAGATGGATCAGTTAGGGTTAAGCTTCAATATGGGTTATATAACAACACTTCTTCCCTTCTATCATGTTTTCAGCGTATATCTCGGTGCAAAGGCCCATAGAGTCCAATACTGGAACTCAGGAATAGAACTGCAACTAGGGACAGTAAGCCCGAAGCCTCTTTCACAGTCTACCAGCGCAAAGCTAAGTAAGCGCGTGACAGCTCGCACCTTCCACATAGAGCAATATACTGGCCACAATAAGAATTTCTATTCGACTTCCCGTAACGGAAGGCGCCAACTCGAGGTAGGTGCATATGGTCGGTATGGATAGGATAAAGGTTGTTCTATAATATTAGGTATGTTCATTAATGTTACATTTACATGACGGCAACCGCCTACACCACGACACAACAATACCAGCTAGACAGTCGGTCGCTTGAAGGGATGCGCTTCGGTGTTGCTAATTTAGTTAGTCAGTATGAATCCTTGTTGCACAGCGAAGGGGGATCGAGAGAGAGAGATAGAGGAGGGACAGGGAGACATACAAGACATATTCGTCCAAGCTGACTGTGTCCGGCTCCGAAAATATCAGATAGAAGTATTTGAGCGTCTCCGCCAGCCAGAAACTCTCCATGTAGTCTTGCTGGTCTGAGTGCACGTTTCGCACGTCGTCAAGCACCGCGTGCCCGTACTGCGTCCGGCACATCTTGTCGATGTTCTTGAACATGCGCCATGCGGCGTTTTGCAGTGCTGGGTCGCCTGTGATCCGGTACATGATGAATACGGACTCGATGGCCTCGGGTCTGTGTGCGTGCGTCAGTCATGTGAATTTGTGGGTGTGTGTGTGTGTGTGTGTGTGTGTGTGTGTGTGTGTGTGTGTGAACGGGAGACATACCGTAGCTTGTATTCGCTGTCGCCGATGTTGGTCCACCCCGGTGGCAGACCCCGCTTGAGAATGTCCTTGCGCGCCTCTGCGTGAGGATCGTCCGACGTCACGCCTAGCTGGCGATTGATGTCGTCGTACCACTTCTGCTCGTCCCAGGGGCAGTGGTCGCGGCTTTCGCAGACGCTCAGGTATAGATTCTCGGGCATGATGCCCGTGGGCATGCTGTCGTATGCCCAGATGCATCCGTCGGTGAGTTTTCGCGCAATGTCCAGTTCGTCAGGGCGGTTGAACACCTTTGCGCCGATTCCTACCATTCCGCCAATGTAGCACTTTAGGTGCTCGGCTTGGGGCACGAGGGTTTCCCGGCCGGGGGTATACGACGCCCGCATGTCGCCCGGGAATAGCACGTTCGTTCCGTCTTTTGTCATGGGTCGGAACAGGAGACGGTCGTTGATTGTCCGCATGGCGGCGTCGTACATGTTGCGGTATTGGTCGGTGCGCCCCCCGAGGAGCATGTGCTCCTTGGGAAGATACTCGTAGGTGGAGTCGCCCATTGCACCAACGCTATACCGAGGATCGCGATACACAAGGTCTTGGGCGTCTACCATAATCGGCCACAGGCCAGGAATGATGGTTTCTTTCTGTGCTTTTTCCAGATTATCTGTGATTCTCTGGGTGGCGTCAAAGTACTTTGGGTCGTTGGTAAGCTGCGTCATGCGGGTGAATTCCATATTGAGGGAACCCAGTTCGGCCAGCACAGTGTACCGACTCGGTACAATGCTACGACCCTCGGCGGATCGGGTCCATTCCCACCGGGCCTGGGGCATGCGGTTGCGCGTGTCGAAGGCGCTGTATAGTATCTCGGCGATTTCCGTTGCCTTCTTCAGTAGAATCGGGTGCTTTCCCTCGGTCAGATCGTGTGCGGATAGGAGGCCCCCCAGGTATCGGATGGTGGTCTCGAACACATTGATATCCCCAGCATCAGTCACCGTAAAGTCAATCTGCTCGAGGCCTTCCAGCGCATCTTCCAGCTCATCCGTCAAGCCCATGATGACCAGCGAATCGAGCGCATCAACCAATGTCGCTGCCCATCCCGCAAAAGAGGTCCGGTAAAGGCCACTCAGCGGCGATACCTCGTCTTTCAGCCACGCATTCTTTTTGTATCCTTTCCACGCGTGCTTGAAGGCAACCTTGACGGCCTTCTGGCGCTTCACTCGCTTTCTGCGCGTCCACCAGGACTCCGTCTTGAAGTTATGCTGAATGCGCGGGATTGGCGACGGGGCCTCTGTGGGCATAGGAATGTACGATGTGACTGGATATTGCTCTGCATGCTTTGTCCAGCGGATCCGGTTGTCCGGATGGGCGTGAGCTGCGGGCTCTTCATCCGTAGCACGAGAGCCGGAGTCGGCTGTTTCAATGTCCGCGGAGGTTTCCGCGTCCGGTGGTTGGAAAGATAAGAAGGTGTATACAAGGAAAATGAGAACGAGGGTCGGGAGCACACAGCTCTTGCGAATGCAAAGCATGGTGCGCTAGTGGGGTATCTTCAATTATAAAACTAGCTCCAAATCAAAGTGTGGAGTAAAAGGAAGGGATGAGCCAGTGCAGCTCAAAAATGTCACGGCAAAAAAGACAGCATCAAAGAACGTCGGGTCGCATTATACTAGAGGTAACACCTTATTTTTGAGAACATCGAAGATGTCAGGATACAAAGTAAACAGGGCCAGAGGAAAAGCTCCCTCTGATCAAGGGGCATACGCCATCGCACCAAGACTGTGGGGTCCCAAACAACAGACGGACTGTACTTTAGACTCGGCGATCCATGCTGATCTAGACTCGCGCTTCGATTGACTGCGCCTGTTGGTGGTGTCGAGGAATGTCGTATGGGAACTCTAAAGGCTCCCAAAGGAATGATCGGCATTAATTGCGCAGGAATCATCCTGCGGAGACAAAGGGGGTCGGCCAAGGACAGAGAGACCAACAGTATGGAGATCGGAGACTCGTCAATATGAACTGTGATGGGCAGAGACAGGGCATTGCGTAAGCTCCGTGGTCCCTGAGACCCAAGGTCCAATTGGTGTGGAGGACTGGTAGGGGCGGCTCAGAGTGGATCATTCTATTCTTACTCCAAAGCTGTTTCACTTCAGCTTGGGGCTTTGAGCTTCATTCTAGGATTCGACGCCTCACGGAGTCTAGGTCTGGTGGTAATGAGAGGATCTGATGGACCTCATGCGGAGATTGCCAGCCATATGCAGGTATTTGGAGGATTGGTCTGATTGCTGTTGGATGATGAAAGCAGCTGTGGGCGAGAATAGATCGGGACCACATGGCCGGGTGTTTGCATTGTTTGTGTATCAGATACTGATGCCTGGGGCAACAAGCAGCTTTCGCGTGACGGATTTGTATGACTTCAAGATAGAATGCGACATGCTTCGGACCACGTTATACCACCACTCTTCTGATTAACCATTCTTTGACTGTCCATATTTAGTCTCGGTGTCTACTTTTGCATTAGGTATCAACCTACACCCTCAATACTACCCCGACACCACTAACCCCACAGAACGACTCAATGAATTAAAAGCACTCCTCCTAGCTGGACCTTCAATCGCAGTCCATACATACTTCAACTAAACTCATCCCCCCATATCTACATTTCTCGAACCACACGCACTACCTTCACACCCGCCACAATGTCCACAACAGGGTACCCAAACCCCCAATCCCACCAACAAGCCTTAAAACTAACCCCAACAGGGTCTTCTTCATCCCCTCCAACCCGAACGCCTCCACAGCCCTCGCAACAATCACAGAACGCCTCCACACAGCCCTCGCAGACAACCCCATCCCCATCGGCCGCTGGGCCCTCGAGCACAAGCTCATGCGCGACACCCCCTCCTGCCTCCCCGCCTCAGCATCGCAACACCGCCCCCAACACCCCCGCTACCTCCAATTCCTCTCCCTCTCCTACTACCCGCACCACGGCTTCATCTACACCTCGCAGCCAGATGCAACCACCCAAACCAGCACAGCCAACACTCCCACTCCCACTCCCACCGCTCCAACGCCCACTCCCACTCCCCACCCCCAGCAGAGCCAACACCACCCCGACCCAACAAAGGGCGCCCCCCTCCCCGTAATGACCACCCTCCCCCTCCCCTCAACAAGCACCCTCTTCAGCCACTTCGTCTACGCCTGCCAACCCTTCTGGTGCCACCGGCACACGGTCGCCGTCCCCGGCGGCACAGTCTACGACGTGGGCGACTTCCGCGTGCGCATCGGCGACGTGCGCCAGACGCAGCCGACGGCCCGTGTGCGCGGCACCGTCGTCGAAATCGAGTGGCGTGGGCCGTCGATCGTGGCGACTGTTGTTGCGCGGACGTCGCCATCACCCCCGGGGGTGTCCATGGAAGAAGAAGAAGATGCGGGGGATGGGCTGGTCACGGCGGAGGATATACAGGACGGGGATGTGGAGGCTGAGTATCGCGCCTGTGCGGCGCTGATTCGTGAGTTCTGGGCGAAGTTGGGGGTGGAAGGTGCTAGGGAGGCGATTCTTGTGCCGGGCGTTGGGACGGAGGTCGTGGGGAGGTTGCAGCGGTGGAGGAAGGGCTTGATGGCTGTTTCTGGGGTGAGTGAGGAGGATCCGGATCCTGAGGCGGGGGTTGATGTTGCGAGGCAGTTTATGGAGATATTCCGGTTTAATCGATGATTTTATATGATCATGATGATGGCGTTCACGCTTTTCCGGTAATGATTTTATGTCGATAATTACGTGGCTGTAATAGGTCGGGGTGGTACTAGTTTGTCTGCTACGAGTATTCATTGGGACATGGGCTAAAACACAGTTCAATCGGAAACGCAGGGAGGTGGCAATATGGACATAGATAGATCAACAAACAAAACCCAGCTTGAAAACGGAGATGACGTCCACGTCATCGAGAGATGATCCAAACGAGAGATAGATTCCTACCGGCCATATGGGTCCCTCATCCGTCCCCAGCACAAGAAGACAAGTCGCGTCCAGATGCAAGCCGTCCCGCCAAACCGCCAGCCAGAGATAGACTATACGATCGAACGGGACGATGCAAGAGGAACACGGTCTTTACCCCCACTTCCACCGCTTCACTGGCTTGACTGGTACGTTTATTTTTGCATCATGAGCTGCACGAACTCGTTGTCTGCGACGCGTTAGTTCAATGTTTTGATGCTCCTCCGCAAAAAGGTAAAGGGGGAAATACAGTCGATGCGGCCGTCACCGTCCTGGTCGGCCTCGCGGATCATCTCGTCAACCTCGTCGTCGGTCAGCTTCTCGCCGATGGAGGTCATGACGTGGCGCAGCTCCGCGGCGGAGATGAAGCCGTTGTTGTCGCGATCAAAGACCTTGAACGCTTCCCGGATCTCCTCCTCCGAGTCGGTGTCCTTCATCTTACGAGCCATCATGGTGAGGAATTCAGGGAAATCGATGGTGCCGTTGTTGTCCGCGTCAACCTCGTTGATCATGTCCTGGAGTTCCGACTCGGAGGGGTTCTGGCCCAGCGACCGCATGACGGTGCCCAGCTCCTTGGTGGTGATTTGTCCTGTTGTACGTCAGATCAGAAGTTCGCAAAGAAACATGGTCATCAGAGTCGATCGACGTCGGTCGCATCGTCCGGACGGGGTACTAACCATCGCCATCCTTATCCTGTTACACGAGAAAAAGCGACCTGCGATCAGCGCCGTTCCATCTCCCGGTGCAGGACACCCCGAACGGAAGACTTACGAAGAGGGAGAAGGCCTCCTTGTACTCGGAGACTTGCTCCTCGGTGAGAGAGTCGGCCTACAGAGAGCGATATCAGCGACAGGGAATTTTGTGCAGATGGCGAGACCGATCTGCCCCGCAAAGTGGGGGGTATTTGACACGATTGGGTGGGAAGAGGGGAACATACCATGATGATAGATTAGATTGGAAAGGGGAGGGGTTAAGGGATAAGGCGTGAGGGGAGAGGATGGGAAGGAAAATATAAAGAAGAGGGAGGAAGGGAGTTGGTGAGGTTTAGTTTCAGTCGGGTAGATTGGTGGTGAGGAGTTGGTAGTGGATGAGTAGGAGCCGCGATGGTTTAGTCTGTTATTTCTAGTGGGGGGGTTAGGTCAGTCTGTGACTTTGTTAGGGGGGGGGGGGGGAAGAAGAGAGGAGAAAGCAGAGGGGAAGAGGGAAAGGGGCAAAACCACAACAACGTTCCCGTCGGTCGGTTGGCCACTGAGGAGGCAGCCTTATCAGGCGGTCACTCCCACCCGAAACACAATAAGGGACCTCGTCGTCTTCAGCCGCACTGTACTATACTACCAACACGTTTAACTCCCAGGCTTAGTTTATCTTTTGCTTAATTTTCCTTCTTTTTGGACCACTCGAATGTGGATGTCTGCATGAGGCAGATGATCAACAGTCACCCCATCGCTTGGACTGGTTGACTACCCAAAGGGAGCCCTACAAGGCTGTATCTGCACGCACTTGTACGTGCGTGGACGGATGACAGCTGACGACGCTTTATCCGGTTCTGTTGATAGGACAGGTAACCCATGGTACAGCAGGTTCGTAGGCAGGAACATGGCCCTTGGCATACGTGTTGATAGATATACTGGGAAGAATGCATGGATTGACAGGAGTCTGTTGCATGATGCTCCGGTGGGTTTATTCTTCGTCCAAACAGTATGGGCCTCCATTCAGCTCTCAAGCGTCTCCATGGGTGTTGTATGTCTCCATCTGGGTCTCAAGAGGGACTACCACAGTACATCTCTTCGTAATCAAGTCCATGATGAAGCAACGGTCTTGACATTGAAGAATACCGTCGTTCAGGTCCAGTCCAGCCCATCCGGGCCGGTACCTAGACTAGTCGGCCAGTGGGGTCGATGTGGATGTGGCGCTGTATTTCAATAGTGGAATATTGGTCTGGACCCTAATAATATGAGAGTGAGTATTTGGGATAACGTGCGAGGAAGAGACGGAACAAGATACTTGATTGCCATGTATGTTGATCAATGTCCCTTCGACAGTCGATACTATAGAATGAACCGATGAACCTGGATCAACCCGGGTAAAGCCAGGATGAAACAGGAAGAATGAAGCCGTGTAAAATAACCACAGTTGTGAGCTGGAACAGTGTGGGGGAAGCCGGCAATTACGGCGCTGTTACGGCCAGACCTTGGGCGGTCAACCATGCTTTACCCCGTCTGGAACCTCCTTTCACGTGGACCGAGATCCATCAAGCTTCCCGACGTGACAATCATAGTAAGGCTGCAGTACATCATATTTTGCCAATGATATCAATTCTCACTCATTAACAAGCTGCCGTACTGAATATCACTTTATCTTTCCTTCCGTGTTCTAATTCAATCCCTCTGATCGGGTAGATCTCAACCCTGCCTTTCGATCTACCCAGCAATGATAAGGAGAGCCTAGGAACCTCCTCCGTCCGATCCCATCCGACCATCCATCCATCATGTGGAGAGATCGCACGAACCTGTACGACAATTCCCTTCTACAGTTTCTATGTGTGGAAGAATCTAACGCAATGTGACCACAGCTATATCTCGTATCGCCAATCCTTTACACACCACCCGACCAAGAAGGTCCCATTCGGCCAATCCAGCAGCTTCTCCGATTCCACCTCCCACCCTGAAGAAAGCCGACGTCTGATCTCCGAGACAGGCGGCTTCGAAGATGACGGCGACGCAATCATCGAGATGGACCTGTTGCCGCCGCGCTGGGTCGATGTGCAGGACGAGGTCTCCGAGCTGCTAGCGGACATTGCGCAGAAGGCGTCCCATCTGGACAAACTGCACCAGAAGCACCTACTCCCCGGGTTTGGCGACGAGGACGCGCGCAAGCACGAAGAGAGCGCCATTGAGCAGTTTACTCAAGATATCACGACCGCTTTTCACGAATGCCAGCGTGCCGTGCAGAGGATCGAAACTATGGTGCGCGAGGCGAAGCAGCACGGCGGTGTCAGCAGCGGCGAGGAAACCATGGCGCGGAACCTGCAGATCTCACTCGCCTCGCGAGTCCAGGATTCGAGTGCGCGATTCCGGAAGAAACAGAGCACATATCTAAAGAGTGAGCCATCCCCATCCTGTCCGCCTATTCACATTCCGGATCTGGCCAAACTAACACCCTTTGTCTACTGCAGAACTCCGAGGCCTAGAAGGACTAGGCATACCCTCCATCGACCGCGTCCCCACCCCCGTCCACCAAAACCCCTACACCGACCCATCCCTCATGGAATCCGACGCAGACAAATCCTTCTCCCAAACCACCCTTATGCAAACGTCCCAACGCCTGACGGGCCAAAACGACGAGGCAATCGTGCAGCGTGAGCGCGCAATCAACGACATTGCCAAGGGTATCATCGAGCTCTCCGACATCTTCCGCGAACTGCAATCCATAGTCATCGACCAGGGGACAATGCTCGACCGGATCGACTACAACGTGGAGCGCATGGGGACGGAAGTTAAAGCGGCAGATAAGGAATTGAAAACGGTATGTCCCCCCAGTTACCTACCATCTTTCAAAAACCACCCAATGTCATCCACAAATAACTAACCAAGCATCCTCAACAACCAGGCAACAAACTACCAACGCCGCACCGTAAAACGCAAAGTCCTCCTCCTTCTCACCCTCCTCGTCGTCGGCATGTTCATCCTTCTCCTCGTCAAACCGCGAGGAAGCGACTCTTCCCCCCCGCCGGAGCGACGAGACGATCAACAGGCGTCCACCACCGTTCCGCGCATGTCGATCTCTCGGCGCAGGAGACGGTCGCTGATGGGAACGAACACGATGCGCAAATGGATCGACCCCGATATAGATCGGTAGGCTTGTCGCTAGATAGGCTTAATCATACTGTAATGCATGTTACTTTTTCTACGTATAAGATGATTTTTCACTAGATGGATTTGTATCGCTTATATATATACCCAGTATCCGTACTCCGTACAATTTCTCGTATACACATACATCAACCGTGAGTTACCAGATCCGGTCTTACTTCAAAAGTGGCGGGAAATAATAAAGGGGCTAGTTTATTATAGAACATTTCACCAGACTCAAATATCAAATATCAAATCAGGTTAATTAGGTAATACCCCTCCACCACGCCATTCCCACTGTTTCAAATGATACCATATAAGTCTCGAAATGGGTCTCCGTAACCGTATTGCTGACTGTCATTTAAGGACCAGACCCTCCAGCGACGATCATCTCCGATCTATTTTAAGCACTCCCGACCAAAAAGGAAACCCAATAATATATATCTGGCAGCTCCGCCGGCCAGATATCCGTCACACTCCGTAATAGGAGTAGACACCTAACGTAGTATACTAATTATGAACACAGGACGTTTCAATCCAGCGTAATATATTTTTATCTATCAACACAGTTATGGTAGAAGAGGGAGAAGTAAATAAGGGGCAGAGAGGGTAGAAAAGACAAGGGCGCCGGAAACCAGCGCGAGCAAGCAACAAAACGGCGGAATCAAAGGACCAGACTATTGGAAATACATATCTGAGCATCACCTATTTATGCACCAGGAGCCATCAAAAGAAATGGTAGTAGGATATGTTGAAAACAGTAAAGGGTAGAAAAAAGACTTGAGAAATGCGACAATCGAGAGAGATTAATGAAGCGAAGATAAAGAAAAGAAAAGAAAGAAAGGTATCAACCTCGAAATTAAACTCCACTGACTCCCGGCGCATTTTGATCCTTCTTCAAATCCATCAGCATCTCGCGGAATCGCTCCTTGCCCGAGCCGCTCGCGCCGCCGCGGGTGCCCTTGCCCGAGATGTCAACCAGCTTGGCGATGCGCTCCCAGCTGGTGCCGCCGGCGGAGGTATCTTCCCGGTTGGCGAGGAATTGCTCGGCGTCGGTGCGGGTCTGCGAGCGCAACTTGTCGGCCTTGTTGTTGTAGGAGACGTAGAAATCGTCGATGTCCTCGTGGGCCTTCTTGACCGTCGCTTCCTTCTTCTCCTCGGAGAGCTCGACGCGGCGGGCGATGTCGGCGTCGCGTCTCGCGCGCCATTCCCTGGTGCTATTAGTTCTCCGTCTGGTGTTGGACGAGGCTGTCGAAGCTTACTTCACAGGTTCCGGCTCCTCCTGGGGCTCCTGGTAGCTGGCGTAGCCGGAGGGCGGGAAGGGCGCACCGGTGCCGGTGATGGTGCCGCCGGGGGCAACTTGCTGTGAATCGCCTGTATAAGCAAATGTCACGTCATGAAGGGGATAGTCACAAGCATTGTACCTCGTTCTGTGTGTCGATGGCCGGGAACGACGACTCGAACCCGGAGACCTCCGCAGCCACGGGGCTGGCGTCCTCCGCTCCGCCCAGTAGATTGTCATTGTCGTCCTTCACATCGGCAACGTGGTCTTGAGACGTAGCAAACTGCTCCGCATCTTCACCGAGGGCGGCCCGTTCGCGAGCGAGAAAGTCGTCGTTGTCCTCTGCGGTGTTGGTCTCGACGACATCCGTCTGGCCTGGAACTCACGGGGTTAGTGTCAGCGAGGCGGTTGGGCAGGTACGAAGACGGGGTTCCATTCTGACCTGCAGAGAAGTCTTCTAAGGAGGGGAAACGGTCGGCCATTGTAGTGGAAGGATGCGATTGAATGAAGATGTGGTGAAGTGGTTCTGGATACAGGAATAGGAGGGGAATCAGGGACGTCCAGCTGGCTTGTAGCGGAAGGAGGTGGCAGTAAGTGTAGAGTAAGCAACGGGGAGTTAGTTCTGCCAGGAAAGGCGGTGAGCCCGAGCTTCAATTGACCGAGTTACCCCAGGAAACTGATCAACTTCACCTTCTGCAACTGGCGATCTTCATACATCTCACGTTTGATCCCATCCTCTGGGCGCGTAACTTTGGATTATATCTAGTTTCTATTTGGTCTTGTTTAAATTGGGATCATCTCCGCTTCATATTCATTGGAGACTGTCTGTCCTCCGATCCAACTCACCAGTGCCGTCCCATTGTGAAACTCAGCAATGGCGTATACGGACGACGCTGTCAAGGCAAAGCTCTCTGCGCTCAATGAGACGCAGGAGGGCATTGTCACTGTTGCGCAATGGGTTATGTTTCACAGGTTGTCCACCTTGCTACATCTGCCAGAAACGTGCTAATGGACCGCTTGATAGACGGCATGCCGACCGAACCGCACAACTCTGGCTCCAGAAGCTACGCGACTCTCCGGCTCCCAAGCGACTCAACCTGATCTATCTCGCGAATGGTATTTTCTTCCCGAGTGATAATCCGGACGAAACTAACCCAGACCAGAGGTTGCGCAGCAGTCACGGGCTCGTCGGAAGGAGGATTTCCTCATTGCCTTTTCGCCCGTAAGTACGCTCTTATGGAAAGCCGGGGCTCCGCTAATGGAGGCTAGATAATTGCGGAGGCGGTAGCGGCGGCATACAAGGGATCATCCAACGATATCCAGCAGAAAATTCGACGCGTGGTGGAAGTATGGCGACAGCGAGGCATCTTCGAGCCACCTATCCAGGAAGCAGTGGAAGCGCGCATCGATGGTATGCACCCCCAGCACCAATCTCTGTATCGCGGACTTTTCTCACTCCAACAGATCTCGATAAATCTCGATCGACCGGCAAGAAGCCTCCTCTCGGGGGCTCGCTCTTCTCCAGCCCATCCACCGGTTCCACTCCCTCCGAGCTCCAGCCTTTAGTCCCCCTCCAGGTTGCTCTCTCCAAAGCAGCCATGTCCTCCGGGGCCTCCTCCACAGCCGCCAACGCCGAATACGAAAAGATGCACGACCCCAACACGCCCCTGCCCACACCGCCGGTGCACGCCGCGCGACTCAGCCAGCTCCTCAAGACACTCGCCAACGCAGAGAGCTCCGTCTCGGAGGTCATCAAGTCGCGCACAGCGCTCATCGAAGGCCTCGAGAAACTCCTCGAGACCAACCGCGGAGCTCTCTCCAAGGAGCAGTCGCTGGCGACGCAGCTCACAGAGCGCATGGGCGAAACAGAGCACAAGAAGCGCGAGGTCGAAGACGGCATCATGCGCGGCCTAGCCGCCCAACACCCACCCGCTATTCCCGGTGAAGACAGCGCCGCCACCGATAACGTCCCACGCCCGGAAGTCGAGGCGCTGACTCCACCCCCAGTGGAAGCCTTGACACCCGTCGGGTCCCCCAAGCCCGAAGCGCGAGAAGCTACCGAACCGGGCCCCTTCAGCGGCGGGTTCACGCTCTCTGGGTTCGAGCACCCGATCGCCCAGGACGTGACACTGCCTCACAATCTCCAAGAGAGTCTCAACGGACTGCAGGCGAAGAAGCGCAAGGTCGACCACACCGAGGAGGACTACGCGCAGTTCGCCGGGGGGGATCTGGATGCTGACGTGGCTGAGTTGTTGAAGCAGGAGGGTGATGCCCAATGATGATTTCTATTGCCATGTACTCATTGTTCAAGGATTGATGGTTATATTTATATCGTGTTTGATATAGTGTTTTTACCCGAGCAATTGCATTCTTTTGTAATCTAGGCTGTTTGACAGGTAATAAGATGGTGAATGGGAAAATGCAAAGAAAAGATAATGAGATACCAGATCGTAAATATTTCCCATCGCCTAAACTCCACCATATAAACCAGCTATATAGATCTATCGTAAACATCATGTATACCCAAACCAAACCCGAAACAAATACCCTCTAGAAAGAGCATAAAAAGAGAGAGAGAGAGAGAGAGAAAATCACGCAACCAAAAAACTCGCCAAACTGCCCGCCGCCAACCCCCCAACCAACATCAGACTCATAAACCCACCCGCCGCCTCCCTCTCCCGCTCATCAACCCACACCCCAGCACCCATCATACAGCTACTGGACAAAAAGCCATTCGTGGCGCCAAACAGCAGCTGCACGATCACCAGGTAAAAGGCGTCGCTTTTGAAGACGGCGCCTTGGCCGTCGACGTTGCAGAGGAGGTAGAGGGGGAGGAAGACGACGCGGGCGAGGGCGAGGGCGAAGAGCGCGCGGGGGCGGTGCGCGAGGGTGGAGAGGGAGGGGAGGAGGACGAGCATGCGGCCGGTGAGATCGCCTGCGTTCCAGAAGAGGAAGGCGAGGGGGATGAAGATCTCGGGGCGGAGGGTTGTTGTGACGGGGAGGATGCGGGAGGTGTAGACGGGAAAGATCATGGTTACTGCGAAGCAGAGGAAGATGGAGGTGGAGAGGAGGCGGAGTTTGGAGAAGAGGGTTGTGAGGGGTGTTTGGGTTTCAGTTTCGGGGGGAATTGTGTCTGTCTCGGTGGGCAGGTCGGTGTAGTTGGGGATGGTTTGGGAGGGGGGTGTGGTGTGGTGGTGGTGGCGGCGTTGGCGGCGGACGAGAGAGAGGAACGAGACGAGAGCGAGAGAGGATACTGCTGTCGCTGTGAGGAAGTACCAGAAGGCGGACTTGGACGCGGCGGAGCTGTTCTCTGGCGGCGGGGGCACAGGCTCGCTGTCTTGTTCGGTGGGGTCTCCGGATTGATTTGTGGTCCTTGGGACGGCCAGCACCGATACGATCTGCACGATGCAAGGCAGCACGCCTGCGACGCCTTGGCCGCCCATGATCGCTTGGGTGTACTCCTCGCGCCCGAAGCCGGCGACGTACGCAAAGACGCCGTTCTGGTTGATTCCGGTTGCTAGACTGGCGCCGCAGACCATGGTCATGAGGAAGGCGAAGTAGAAGCGGACGTCGGCGTCGCGGGCCACGACTGTCGAGATCGCCAGCATGGTGAACACGACGACATTGATGAGGAGGGAGACGACGATGCGGCGGGGATAGGAGGCGCCGCGTTGGAGCCTGGCGAGGGTGTACGAGGAGCCCAGGTTGGTGATGGTCGAGACGGCGAGGATGGACGGCTGGTAGTTGGTTGCGGCCCAGGGATCGGCCTCAAAACGGTGATGGAAGTACGGAGACGCAGCGAGAAACATGTTCCTATCATGGTTCTGTTAGACAGGGGGTTTCTAGCTTTAAGTTACATGACATACCATGCCCAGAGCATGGACACCCCCAGGAGGAAGAAGACGCCGTATTCGAACCGGGAGAAGCGGGGTTTGCGCCGCAAGATGGAGGGATCCTCATCGTGATCGACCGGCTCGTAGGCCGGAGGCGGATCAGACCATCTATTAAGAAGATTCATATTGAATGGATGTTCAATTCAGAGCATCGCCGAAGGAAGAGCGCAGCTTTGAAGATGAAGTAGTTGGTTGTGGTGTTGTATCAGACCAAGTCACCTGAGTGAGTGCCAAGACATCTACGTCAGTTGGCTGATTAGTCAGCTGGACTGCAGTGCACACAAGTTTGACACAACTTGTGCAGATGACGGTGAGAGATAATCAACCTCATGTTCACTCTCTACCTAGTATATATTATATTCTTGATACCATCCTCTGTGAGGAACACCACTATTGTATGGGCCTGGATTCGATGAATACTCCCAGCACCCATTAGGTCATCTTCTGACAGCGGAACCACACAATCCCTCGAGAAGGACATAACCATGCGGTTGTCATAATATAACCACGGATCAGTGAACCACAGCCATGGGTTGGACGGTTTGTTTATTTACGCCGAAAATTTCTCATCTGTGAGATTTGGTAGACACCACACTCGGCCAAAATAACCTCAGATACTAGAGCAAGATCACCAGAATTGTAGGAAATTTATCGCCCGTTACTAAGGTTTAGCCAGACCGTCCGATAATATGATTCGACCCTCAGCAGCCCTGACATTTAGAGTATGATTGGCAGTCAATCACCCCTCTCCGGTGTGATTCGTGTCGCCCCGATCCTTACTTGAGAGGGTAATCCCACCGACCCCATCAGCGATCGTCCCAATGGCCATGATAAGAGCACGGGTGATAGGGGGTCCACTGATGGCCAGGCTGTTGATGATCAGAGGTGGGACGGGTTCCATGGACTCCATAGAAGGCAGTATTGGTAACGACATGAACAAAAATTGATGGAGGGACAGTAACAGAAATCGAATGTAGGGAGTACTCTTGACCAAAGCCGTTGGATGACCGGTGGATGGATATTAGGGTTCTCTAGTCAGGGGTCAATGCATGGGATTTGGGGGTGGCACAATGCTGACCATGGCAGTCCAGTGGTTTGTGATATGGGTGTAATTTCCCCCACTACCGGTCACCATACAAGGGTCATGTTAGCAACAACAACAACAATAGTTATTATGTATCATTTCGCTAAGAGTGTCAATTCCTCATCTTAACATGGTTCGTCGGATGGATACTCGGTGAACAGCTGTCATGCAGCCTGTAAGGTACGGGCCAAGTCGCTTGGGAGAGAAGGACCTTGGTTGGGTACGGAGGTATACATGGGATGGAAGGGTTCGCGCCTGACATAACCACGAATGAATCTCTTCCTCCATGGACAGCTCACGTCGTGATGAACCTCAGGAGGATGTTTACGGATGTCTACCTGGTCATCCGTGGTAGATCAATCCTTGACAAACCCAATTCCCTATCCAACTGACCTATCGAGGGTTGACAACGATGTCAGGCTGACATTCCAGACAACCACATGGCCAAATCGATCTATCTGATTCTTTTATCATTCTTCTTGATTCATCAATTGACTGTACATTCCTAGCCCCTATCCACGCACTACAGAACCATACCTATCATGCCTGACTCTCTGCGATGGTATGGATACAGTTCGAATAGTCTTCTTGGATCAAGTGAAGGAAGTAATTAAATACCGTATTGTACCAGGGAACCGGGCAAGATCGGCCAGTCAGACAGAGTCTCGACCGCTGGGCAAAGTGGGTCTTTCTACTAGATCCATCCAATCAGCACCCGTAAAACAAACATCTCAGGCACCGTTGGACCTCTCCACCAATCACATCCACCCCTGACTGGGCCCCCTTTTTCGCTGTAATTTCACTCCATGGATTGTTTTTCTCTCTCCCGTGCACGATGGATCCCCTGAAGGGATTCCCTCCACTGAATCCACTCTCTTCCCCCCCCCCCCCTTCCCGGGCCCTTCTTATTCAACTGTCTCCCCCATCATTCTCTCGACTTCCCTTCTTCTTCTTTCTTTCCCCTCCCTCTATCCTTCTCTCTCCTTTCTCCAGGTTCGCATCTCACATTCTTTTAGTGTTGCGTTTCAGAGTCTCTTCCTTGACTCGAGTCATTCTTTCGAATCTTATACATCCTTTATCTTGCGTTCCTGGATTTGCTTTTTCGTGTATTCTTTCCAGCAGCCTGATACCCGATTCTTCTATCTTCCCTCATCCCTGCATTCTTCCACAATGCAGATCAAGAATTCTGTGCTCCTTGTGACGGCGCTGACGGCCTCCTCGGCCGCCGCCCGTCTGCACGGTCATGAGCGCCGTCACGCTCACCCCGAGCGTCGTGGTGTTGGTGACATGGTCTATGCCACCATGGGCGGCAAGGTCGTCTCCTGGATCAACGAGTGGACCGGCCATGCCACCACCTCCGCCGATGATGCTCAGGCCACCGCCGCCAGCGATGCCACCAATGCCATCCCCAACGCCCCGGCTCAGCCCACCGATGCCCCCGCCCCCAAGTCGTCGGATGATGACGAGGACAAGGACGAGGACGAGGACAAGCCCACCGCCAAGGAGCTGACCAAGGGCAGCTGCAAGGACTGGCTGTGCAGCAAGAACGCGGGCGACTACACCCGCGATGGCTTCGGTGAAGCCACCAAGAACAACGACCTGAGCTACATCTTCTACACCGGCAACGTCGGCAAGCCCTGGGGCAGCAACATCCAGGAGGTCGACAAGTCGCGCGCCTGCGAGTACGAGCACGTCGTCCGCTTCGATGGCAGCGAGAAGGACCCCTGGACCCTCACCTTCTGGAACAAGATGGGCCCCGATGGAAAGCTGACCGGTTGGTTCGGCCACTCCGCCCTGACCATCCGCATCCAGCCCGGCGAGACCAAGTACGTTGCCTTCGACAGCGACTCCCAGGGTGCCTGGGGTGCCGCCAAGGGCAACACCCTCCCCGTCAACCACTGGGGTGCCTACGCCTGCACCTGGGGCGAGTTTGACTTTGGCAACAATGGCAACGAGGGCTGGGTCGGCTGGGACGTGTCCGCCATCGAGGTCATGAAGACCACCAAGGAAGTCCAGGGCATGAAGATCTGCAACCACGACGGTAAAGGCTGCTCCAGCATCTCCAACCTCGGCAAGAAGGTCGAGAACGCCTACACCGACAAGGAGGAGGGCGTCGACGGTATCGGTGGCCGCCACCCGCCTGGCCCTGCCCGTCTGATGGTCAACATCGACTACGAATAGATTCGTCTACCCTCTACTCTTTCAATCTACTAGTCCATTTTTCTTCTCTACTCTGCTTCGTCTGAAATCAATTGCGTTGGAGGTGCTTTATTTGTGTGCGGTAGCAACCACCGTCCGACCTGATGGCTCTTCTTTTTCGTTCCTTGTACATATACCACAGTATTGTCTCTAGTTCATAAATTTGTTACGAGTTATGGATCATCGTACATGACAGTACTCTTGAGAGTACATCTTGATAAACCGATCGTGATATTTTACCGGGGCTACCCAGTAGTATTTCTAAATATAGCACGCCAATCGGGCATACGGGGGCCGGGGCGCCACGGCGACTATTGCTTCAGACTGATCAGGTTCAAGGATCAACTCCTTTGGAGGCAATCGTTCATTTCAGAACCAAGACAGTAGACCCCAAATTTAGCCATCTCACACTCTACTTTAATATACAACACAGCCCCATTAATCCACTCTATAGTTAGACCGCGGAGAGGTGAGAGGCATCACCCGGTGGTGGACTCCGCATACGGAGTAGTTGTGAGCGGCCTGGGGCTAGAACCAGCTTGAATTATTCATTTGCTCAGTCCAGATCTATGGGCCTGTTGTCACATCACGGGCTATACATTTCAATTGTTACAAGGTAAACGGCGAACTATCTACTTCGGAGCTATACCTGAACTAGTTGAAAGGAATGCACATTCTCCCATATTTCTGCGTGGCTTGCTATCAACATGATATATGCATCCACCATATGCATAGTCATCGAATTGCAAGCATATCTCTGTACATAACACTGTCCGCAAAGTTTATTCTCTTCCAGGGTTCACATCGCGTGTTCCTCAGTAAACATAGATGTGGCTGATGGTGAGACCACGTGGTTTAGACTTGAGTAATGAGGGTGTCATGCTTAGCAAGCTTACCTCAAAGAGCTTACCACGAACAACATACTCTGGCAGATACAAACACCAACAACCCTTGAGTGCTTGAATGCTGAATGATTGAACCATACAACGAGTTAACTAACTATTCAGCATAACCCCGCTTATATAATCACAATCCCTTTTGTGGTTTTCATGGTTCAGGTACACATTACTAATCTCCATCACCAGCAATCCCACTTTCGCCTCTCCTCGCGCATCACAGCATCACTTCTCCCCCATTCGATTATTTCTGACCAGAATGGGCTGGGTAGGAGTAGCTGTGCTCATCGCGACCGCCTGTTTCATAGCTTACCGCTATCCGACAGCCGTACGGACGCCAACGCCGGCCGTCCCTCCTGCGCCCACGACCGCGGCCCGAAAGGAAGCAGAAGCAAACACCGAAGAGTCAGGGCCTGTGATAGAAAGACAGCTCTGCAAAGACGGACCTACACCGGAGGACGCCAGCGCAGAGACTTCTGACTCGCAGTCCACGCCCAAGGCGTCTGCGTCCGCGTCTGCCGCTCCCGCTATCGAACCCCCGACTCTCCGCCTAGACAATGACGATAAGCCTGTTATGACCACATCTGCACAGCTATCCACCACACCCTCCACTACGGATAAAAGCGCGAAGCCAGCATCAACCAGCATGCTTCCGCCCCCACCACCGCGGAGCTCTACCTCCGCCCCTCCCTCCTCATCCTCATCCCTCTCCCCGAACATGCCTCCCCCCTCCGCGCCGCGCCTCCGACCAACCCCCACCACCACCACCACCACCACCAACATGAACAACAACCTCCTCGTCCCAGGCCGCGCACCCCCGCGCCCAAGACCAACAGCTCCAGGCAGCGGATCACTCCTCGCCCCACCCCCCTCAGCAGCCTCCACCCTCCGCGGCGGCCCCGCCCCCTCAAGCAACAGCAACAACACCCTCTCCATCCCGCCCCAAAAAATGGTCCCCTCCCCCAACTCGCACCGCAAACGCGCCGCCCTCGAACCAGGCTTCTCCCCGCTAGACTGGGCAGCGCTCACATCCAACCCGAAAAACACCCTGCGGGGCGCCGACCTCCCCGCTCACCTGATCCGCGTAACGCCATCCATGCTCAAGGCGCACACGGGGCGCAAGGGCTCCGACGCGTGGACGGTCTACCAGGGCAAAGTGTACAATATCACGCCGTATGCACCGTTTCATCCTGGGGGGAGGGGCGAGTTGCTAAGGGGGGCTGGGAAGGATAGTGCGCAGTTGTTTACGGAGGTGCATCCTTGGGTGAATTGGGATGCGATTTTGGGGGAGTGTTGTGTGGGGATTTTGGTGGGGGAGAATGAGGGGGCGGCTGATAATGGACTTGATGATATGGATTGAGGGTTTCTTTTTGGTTTGGTTTATTTAGGGGGGGTAATGATAGATAGATGCTGTATATATGGATGTTTATTATTAAGGGAGGCTTATGGCCTATATAACATAGCATAGCATAATTAGAGATACAGGTTACAACAAAGGGAAAAGAGATAGAACCAAAAAGCAAGAATACCAAACCCACTCATCTAATAGATACATATCAGTTTCTCCAACTCGGATATATCCGTCAGGCACCGTTCCCCATGGACTGTCCCGATCCAACTAATCGATCCCTCGTGGATCTTTTCGAAATGCACAGAAGGAATGGGATCGACTTTCTTGATAGTCGTGCATCCATTCTATATGCTTTACACTTGGAATGCCTAGCTTTCTTTATCTTTGACCATTTACCATTTTACTACGATAGCTAGATCATACTCGTCGAGAGGTACTACTACTAAAGCTACTCCTTATATAATGTACGGCGTGCATCTTCCCCAGGGGATACGGGGTGCCGATGGGGCCGTTAGGTACTTATTGGTGGGTATGGAGTCTGTTGTTATGGCGTATATATCTATTCTATATCTCGTTGTTCGGTGGGAAGGACAAGACGGATGATTGGTATGGATAGGTATGGATAAGGATATGGGTGTGCATGCGCAGCTAGGGTGATATTATACTGTTATTCTCCACAGTCAAGTATTTCATTCGAAGAACAAAGTAGAAGCACACGGAGATCACCCATCTTCATTTCTAAACGAATAAGGCAGAGATATATACCACCAGACCCCCCTCAACCAAACAACCAACCAACCCAAATACTCACCCCCAAAGCCCTAACCCAATCTGAAGCAACTGACAACACTACTCAACCTCATCCTGCGCACGGATACTCTTCCCTCGAGATGCGCTTTTCTTGCGGTAGTCGTACCCCCTGCCCTTAACCCGGATGTCCTGGACCTTGGAACCACGTTTCGGGGACGAGCATTTTGCTGGAGACCCCGCAAGTAAAAGACCCCAGAGAGTATCATATATACAGGGCAATTCATGGGCCATTGCCGACAGCTGGGATTCATCTACCTTCCCGGTGAGATACTATCCTCACATTTCTGGGGAATTTTGTACCCCTGTTGTGATCAGTGTCCTGTCCTTCGGGAGTACGCAGCGTCACTTGCTCTGTCTCATGACTTGATCAATAGATTCGTCCATCTGCCCGCTGCCCTCTATGCCAGTGTCTGTCTACTGCTTGCCTAACAACAATATCAGTATGGATTTGAGGAGCCTTCCTGATATCAAACACGCACGTCCTCGTTCGCTGGCTGTTCAGGAGCAGTAAACCAGAAGGCTGGCAAAACACATCGACCCTACCGACAAATACACACCAGCCGTAGATAGAAACACACATGGGTATAAAGATATCTAGATAGTTTAGATCATATACATACCTACCTGAATCACACCGTCCTCTCTATCTACCCAACCAAGCCCTCAATCAAACAATCACTCACCCCACCTCACCCCGACCAGAAACCTCAAATAATTCAAAGCTCATCCTTCCCCACCCCCTCAATCCCCACCAACTCCGTCTCAAACACCAACGTCGACCCCGCAGGGATAGGCCCCACCCCGCGGTCGCCGTACGCCATCGCCGGGGGAATGGTCAGGGTGCGCTTATCGCCGATACACATGTCGAGGAGGCCGTTGTCCCATCTGTCATATTCAACACATTAGCATAACTCTACCTTTCACTTCACCCCGCACATGTACATGTCATGCACAATACATCCACACGCATTATCATATAAAAGGGAAGTGAGGAGAGGGGAAAAAGAAACCCACCCCTGAATAACATATCCCTTGCCCAACGGAAACGTGAGGGGCTTGCCGCGGTTATAGCTGCTATCGAACTCCGAGCCGTCCGCGTAGAGCGTGCCGCGGTAGTGCATGGAGACGGTGTCGCCGGCGGCCGTCTTGCGGGTGCATTCCGTCGAGTGGGTGGTGTTGATGTCGAGGTCTGTGATGGCGGGTTTAGCGTCCGAGGTGGCTTGCGCGGCGAGGGGAAGGAGGAGGGTGGTTAGGGCGGCGAGGAACTTCATTTTGAGCGGTGGTTGTTTTTTGTGAAGTATTGGGTAGTAGGATGGGTTGAGGAAGTCTGGGGTTGTTGTAGGTGGTGAACTGTGGAGTGATTGAATGGAGAGGGGACTGCGGTTGAAACGTGGGTTGGAGTGGCGGGTCGGATGCGGAGAAGCCTGCCTAGCTTGGTTTAGTGGGTTGGGTCTCCGCTTTTTACCTTGTGGATGAAAATATGGTCAACTACGTACTTCCTACCAGTGTCATCTACTGAACTTATCTTCTATCGATTTATAGATGTAAATATGGAGTCAAGTCATAATTCATTACTTTTGATATCTAAGCCCACTTCCCCAAAAGCGCCATCAGCAGCGCCCCCAAACACAGCAAGAAAAACGCCGCCAGCACATGGTGGATCGGCGCCTTGCGCATCGACGTGCTGAACATAAACTCATGTGCCAAAAGCTCCACCAGCGCCGTGTAAATCAAAATCCCCGCCGAGATGGAATCGAACACGCCGTTGACAACCAGTGTCGTGTAGCCCTCGGGCGGGTACGATGTGCGCACCCCCAATCCAACGGCAATGGCGATGGGCGTCGACAATCCGAACGCCGCACCCAGGATGTACGGCGTCCAGCGCTTCGAATGTGGCCACGGAATGGTGGCCAGACGCGATCCCAATCCGAGCCCCTCGAAGGTCTGGTGGAAGACCAGGACGATGTATAAGGTGGTGAATTCCTCGCCTGAGACGGCCAGGGTGAGTCCGATGAATACGGAGTGGAAGATAATGCCGAATTCGAGGATGAAGATGGATGTCAGCTGCGCCGCGTAGTCCTCCAACGAGGTGTCTTTGACGCCGCCGCACTCGGGATCTTCATGCTCCCGCGAATGGCCGAGATGGTCCTCGCCGAGGATGTGGCTCTGGAGATCCTTGGGTTCATTGGAGTCGGAGTACGGCTCGCCGCCGGAGTGATGGTCATGGTCGTCGCCGTGGGTGTGGGTGTGGGAGTGAGCGTGGCCGTGGCCGTGGCCGTCGCCGGAGCCAAAGCGCGCGTACCGCATCACCATCAACTCCACAAAGAACAGCACCGCGATCGTCATCAGGATGATACCCTCGACCCAGGAGTACTCTGTGATCGGGCCAGTCAGGCACTCGTTCTTGAGGGCTTCTTCGGCAGGAGCCAGCAAGTGGATAAAAGCCGTGGCGATGATGACTCCCGAGCCGAAATATTTGGCGATGAAGAAGAGCCAGGAGCCGATTTTGGAGTCGCCATAGCGGCGGGCGAGAACGGGGAGCAGCGCTCCGAAGGAGGATCCGACCAAAATGACGAAAATGGAGGAGATGCGCACCCCCATGTTGCCGTCATATTCATTGCCGGTCTCACAGACCGGTGCGGGGCCGGATTCCTCCTCACGTGCGAGGAGGGTGTGAAGGAGCGACATGTCTGATGTGACTGTCTAGCAGAGGAACTGCGTGATACCTGGGCTGAACCCGGTCTGTGTGGGTCGAAGAAAGAAGACAGTGCTTGACTGTCTGGCACGATCGAATTGTCCAATCAATGTCCAAGAGGGAGGCCCAAAACTGCAGAATATCACGGATACGCTGATGGCAGAACGCAGAGAGGGTGGAGGAAATCTTCCCAAAAGCTTGTTTCTGAGAATTCCTGTCGTGCAGACTCTCTCAGTTATATGCTTTCTCGTTGTGTGCCCAAGCGACTGTCAGAGATTGCACTGTCCACAAGGTCCCTCTCCACTTCACTCCACTCTTGATCACGACAAGGTTATGGTTCCAGCGATCTCCCAAGAGACTGAGGACCTTATGATACAGGAGATCCGATGGAAGCTGGAGCAGTCGGGTCACTATGCAAAGACTCCGCGAAACCGGTCGATGTCAGTGAACAGAAAGAAGAGTCACTAGGAAGGAGGGAAGGGAAGAAGTGACGGTGGGATAAAGTGGTCCATGATGAACATTCCCTCAAGCGCCGGGCATGGTGGGTTGGCGTTGCGTTGGGTTGACGGACAGGGGGACCTTGGGAGAAGAAGAGCATCGCTTGGCGGTGGATGGGAGTTTCTTGCCAGGCGAATAACAGCTCATAGTGGCGACGTCAAGCATGGGTTCGAAGAGTTTTCTTTACCCGTTTCGGTCGTTTCTGAGGACCTTGCGAGCCAGCGGGCCGTCATCTGCCGCGCACTGATTGGCCGAGCGGGCTTATCAGTCACGTGAGGTATCAGTGACCGTCAGTGCTATCCACTGATTATGTAATGTCCATTGTGCACATTTGCTGCAACATGAGAGTCTGTGATATCTGCAACCATCAAATGATCATAGATGACCAGTATGGATGCTTGAAGACTGTGTTGGCAATGTGGGTTCCTCATGGCGAGATATAGATCCATTCGCTTGACATGGTGATTTGATCTATGGACTCGACACGGTCACTGTATATATACAGCGGTCAGACAAATCATTCACAACTAACCAGCAAGTGATAGAGTAGCCGGCTACTGTATATCAAACACAGGCTAGGATATCTATCCCTTACCTACTAGGCTACTACGTAGCAGCAGGTAGACATGCCATCCCTCACAGCTGGCACTTAAAGAATCAAGATCTCAACCACGTGGTGGACAGCTCACTAACCCAATTCGGCAGCTGGCTTGGGCGCCCGCACCTCACCGACCGCATGACGACAGCTCACCTCGTTGCCAGTAGGAGACAACCTCCTTGCTCCAAGCTTGCCGACCGCTACCCTGGGAATATCCCCACCTGTGCCTACCAGCATCTAGATCACCGAGATCAGACACCACCACCCTAGGAGGTACCCCATCAGCATGCCTCCCATCCGCCGATACCTCCGCATCAGCAAGTACACGGTCCTGGAGTGCCGAATTTACCTCGAGAACCCCTCGGACACGCGATGGCTTGTGGACCCCCGTGATCGCATCCTCCCTCGCATCTTCGCCGCCATTCGTCCTCTCGTGCTGCCTAAGCTCCGCGAAGAAAACGAGAGACTCTTTTCGCGGAAGAAGGGGAAGCCTGTCAAGGATGTGATTGCAGAAGGTACTCCACCTGTTTGAGATTCTACCTACGCCAAGGAAGAACACTTGCTCACTGATCGTTGTGGTAGATGACTTCGAAGTAGCGTTGTTTCTCCGCGAATCGCGGACCCGTCATTCGCTCTTGACCCGCCACAAGGAGTTCGACGGCCCGGATGCCGCCTCCGATTCACGACGGGCGGGAACGGTCGATGGCCACGGCGGGGCCGCCGAGTCGGGCATCATGGTTGAAAGCGACGATGAGGAATTGGATCTGAATGCTATCCCTCGCGCTACAGAGCAGGTAGCTGAAGAAGAAGAGGAAGACGTGCATGGGAAACGCCAACGAGGGTCCGAATCGGAGGAACCGCCCCGTCTGCGAGCGTCCAAGCGGAAGAAGAACGAGGAGGAGCCCACCGAAGACAAAAAGATGCGTTTCCAAACGAACTACGAGGGTTTCAATATCTACGGCTGGACGTTGTGTCTGCTGGTCACACGCAAAGGCGACCGGGTGTCGGCCCGACCGACGCAGTCAGAGTCCTCTCGCCAGGTTCTGATGGAGGAGTGGATATCGACGCAGGCGCAGGCCGATTTGGATGAGGAGTGAGGCCCAAGCAGAATCGAGCATGTGTTGTGGCCTGCTTAATTCTAGGCTCGAAATCTTTGTGCGACCCCAAGTCAAGTCAGCTGTTGTCTTCCCGTCTCCCTTCATACAGTGCAAGACTAGGAAGCTGGTTTCGTCGCAGCTGTTTTCGAAATAACGCTGCAGCCACAATATGCAGCTCCGATCTATCCACCCCTGGAATAATATACAAGAACATTGCAGTGCAACCTGCGCAGCCAAAAAATAGAGGAAAAAAAAATCACCGCTCGGAATTACGCCACCATCGCGCCCATACGGCAAATATCCGGGCATTTTCCATGCTCATGGATGCTACACAACCGCTAACCGATGGGTCGCACCACCCACTGCAATTGCAGATGGGCTGCTGTATGACCTGGATTGATGGTTCTGCCCAGGACCGAGTCCCGTGGAGAGTTGCAGTGACTTCGAGAGGTTCTGCAAGGGTGTCGATAGGTACCGACGGAGGACCTGATCAAGGGCTAGTCCAGGTACTGGAATGCGCTAGTCTGGCCTCTAGCTGTACCGCTGGTGTAATCTTTGCACCCTGTCACCTAGACGAGACAGTAACAGCGATTATCTCGGATCCCGGAACATCCGTTCTCAACTTGATACATGCCAGACGCAGTCTATCCGGGACAAACGGGACCGCAATTCGACGTTTGCTGTGTGGCGCGGAGAGCCAGTTAGACTTCCGGCTCGCTGCATAAACCATGACCCTCTATGCAAGTCATACCTGCAACCAGGGTATGTTTCATCTTTCGGTAAACTCGGAGACCCCTCCACGACTGATTCAGATCGGCAAACACGCTGCTTAGCCATTGCAAAGAAGTCCGAGACACTCCGCGTTCTCATGTCACTTCCAGTAATTAGCCGAACGGTCGACAGTAACCATGAGTTCGATCCTCCTACCGGAGTATGTAGTCCAATCCCCTTCCGGTCAGGGTGGGGCCGACTTCCTGTTCCTGGCCTGTCGCTAGCCGTCATTACTCATCCTGCAGAATATTACAATGGTTTGACGTCACTTTGGGTCGATTTTTTGATGTTGGCGCGGTTATGATTTTTTTCTTTCTAATTCTTCACTTTCTTTGTATTGGCATGAACTGCCACGGAGGAAGACCGATGAAGATGAACGACGAAACAGTGGACCATGGTTGAAGGTGAAACCGGACTATCTCATTGGGATCCACCCGTCTCCCTCGCTAGCTTGGTACTGGACGGTGGACTAGCGATTGGTGAGGACAAGTGTGGTTGGTGCCTGACTTGCAGGTTTTCAACAGTCAACTCAACTAAACGCCGGACGGAGCTAAGGAGCGGTGAATCACGGACGGGTCGGTTTCTGGAAGACTCTGACCCATTCGACAGAGCGGAGTATCTGGTGATGATCATTATTCTGATGTCCCTCGGGTCGGCTAGGGAGAGGTATCCCGTCCGATCTGTGGATGCGACCCGGCGGTTTTCGCATTCGTATTCATTCCATACCACTGATGGGAACGCATGGTTTACCCAGGAGGACTTGATTGAATGTATATACAGTCTCCGGACAATTTTGCCCATCTCCCGCCGCTTGTCGGTTGAAAAGTCCGTTTTTAAGCGCCAACCCCTTTCTCTCGCGCTCCATCGCGCCGGTCCGTCAACACTTAGGTAGACACCGGAAGAGCGACTTGTCCGTCTCCGCATCGAGAATCGCTCCCCCCGGCCAGCGATCCACCGGCAACCCACCGAGGAAGGACCTCTTCCAATGATCGTAGGGAACTACTCCCAACGGCGCGGAATGAACGCCCCCATCGGTGGGGATCTCATTTCCTCAACTCAACCGTGTCTTTCCTGTTTCTCTTCTCATTCTTGATTCTTTATTTCATTATTCCATTCGAACATCTATTATTAATCTTAAAAAAATTCTTCCATTCCAATGGCTAAACCATGCCGAGAGACCCGACCCATGTAACGTGTGCAAGTCACTCAAGATGTGGGATGATCAAGCCGACCGGTATCCTAATTTTGACAAGACGGGCCAATAGAAGATTCCAACAATGGACCTAAGATTAACTCGACGATCAGTCACGGGTAGAATAATCCATCAATGGCCGGACGGAGTAGCGGACAGGATTTCTGTAGCACTCACCATTGTATCTCTGATATTCGGCGATACCGGTACTACCCATTACCGATTGGGTTGTACATACCTAAGGGAACTAGGTTGTGTTAGTGCTATCCAAGGGGGGATGGCGTGCTCGTACAGCCAGATTACAGTATATAATACACACTATGCCAGGTTTACACGGTTAACCAACCATTAACCAGGTATTAATACAGGAGAGTACATAATACTAGCGCGGTAAACTCTGCAGTGGTATCCTTATCCAATACACACCATCTAATCAAATTCCAAATTCCAAATCACTCTCGCTGCAGAACCAACTGGGGCTGATAATACTTTAATTTCCTGCGCGTCGCTAGTGTCGCCCAGTGGCGAATCTCATCATGGAGGGGGGGGGGGGGGGAAGAAGATTCATGCGTGTGTAATACTGGATATGTGCGACTGTGCGTGCACTGATGGATCAGCTTGGTATGATGAGCTGATGGGTTTGGTTTTGTTTTTGAGTTGACTGACGTGCAGGAGATCTTTTTGTTGGTCGCTCATTCAAGCCCATGATACTTTCTTCATCCTGGTTTGTTTTTAGGTAACTGTCTCTATATTTATGACTTTGGGTGTTGTACGTGTCTTATTCTCATTTCCTTTTTCTTATTGATTTAGATTTAGATTTATTTATTTTTGGTCTCCATGGGTGTTGCAGAGAAGGTCCCGGGTAGGGGGACCGACCTGTAAGACATTGTAGTATCTGGTAGATACATTTGTATATTATAGATTAATTGATTAATCTATTGAGGTGTGTCATTCTACTCCAGTTCGTACCTTTTCATTCATTTCTAATTCTAATTCTAATCTATAGATGCATAGTATCTTGTAAACCCTGACTTCTAGCCAGGTACCAAGTCACCCGACCATCGTTAGTTACCGTTGACTAACAAAATCCCCTCGTTTTTTCTTTTGATCCCAGCCTGATCCCACCAAATCCGGAGCATGATCGTAGCGGTCTGACCACCACCAACGATTGGGAAAAATCAACCACTTGAACCATCCCCGACCAATACCAGCTGAACTAAAGACATGGGAATGCAAGTGTCTGATCTGTCATGATCACCTGCAAGGAGCGCTCGGAATCTTGTTGGGCGGAGCCAATCACCGAGACGACCCTCAGCCCCTGAATATCCCGTTCCTGTCCCCATACTGTTCCATCATCCATCTCTCCTGGAGACCAACAATCAGAAACCTAGTGTCTAGGTGAAACGACCTGTCACGGTCACCTTGCCACTTCCCCCTCTCTTCCTGACCCCCTGGGGAGCCCGACATTGTGGCTACGGCAGGACCACCAACACTTGTCCAATGCCCTCTTCACCATGGATATTTATTTTAGTCACGACGTATTGTTATTTTTATCAGTAAGACGAACACGAAACATAAGAATGTGATCCTGGAAAATCATCCTTTTCAGGCAGCCAATGATGGGGGACCGTGCGGTATGATATCCCAGCCCCCTCCCCAAAGCTCTCTCAACTCTGAACCCTCAAGGCTGCGACTGCGACGATGGAATTTCGATCATCGCTCAGGATTCCTTCCCTCCCCACCCCTCCCTTTCCTCCACATCTTTCTTCCCTTATCTTTCTCTTTCGCTCTTTGCTTGTACATAGTACATACGTAGGGACTACGTCGAATGCGTTTCATCTCCCTGTTCTAACCTCTTGCACTCGGGATCGCCTTCTCCTCCCTAATCCTTCAGGATCTACAAACTGGCACGTGTTGGAAACTCTAGCCATGGGAACGATGAGCAGCTAGCTGGTTACCATACAGGGAGGTTGATTGAGTCATCGATCCCGGTGTGATAATCCTTCGTATTATTAAGACGATTATCATCCGTCGCTCTTGGTGAACCCATCGGATTGCATGGCGTGGCGTCGCATCGCATCGCTTTGCATTCCTTGTTGACTATCCCGTCACCCTCCATCAGACCCCGTGATGTAATACGCTTTGCGTATTCCATAATTATGTAGCCTGATCATGACTCGAGTATAATTCTGTTCAAAGAAGATTACCATCTGGAACCTTTAATGAAACAAAACTAGAACAAAAGCGAAAAGAAGAAAAAATCATCAGGAAGCAGGAAAAGAAAGGACCAAATCCCAACCATGACCATGACCATGACATAAAAGAACGATATAGTGGGGCCTTTCCGTTCCGATTATCTGACCTTTTTCTTCTGTCCTTCTCCTTTCTTCCACCCCCCCCCTTACACTACGCTGAGAAAGAACTGTGTGGAGTCCAAGTCATGTAATTTAATTTTTGACACACTACCACTAGGCTGTAATTACCGTCCTGGTCGAACAGAACGAACGGAACGGATCAGGAACCAAGTGTCCTCCCCGGCCATCATTCAACCTTTCTTTCTTCCCCTCTTCAAGTATATTCTGTCTATAATCTTATTATTATTATTTATTATTGAATGGTAATTATCCGGTGGTGCACATAGAGTGCTCCAGGTTACACAGGGCATCCATCTCCTTGGAATATCGGGTTATTCAGACTATCCTCCAGGAATGGAATGTGACGACGGTGGAGGGCGAGCAATACGGTGCCTGGTAACATTCGGTAACATTCTAGAAAATTTCCCTGGGATTGCCGATTGAGGTCACCTTCTCCACTCGACTGACGTCGTTTTGTTCGTTTTCTGTTGTGCCCTCCCGTCTGGTGTGGAGCTCAGCTTGCCGCAGGGGGGGGGGATTATGGAGTGATCATTTAATTAGTAGTATTATGATTGATTATAATTTTCTTTTGTTGGTTTTATTATCATTACATTATTATTTTCTTACCTGCTTGGATTTTTGATTTTTGATTTTTGATTTTATTATTATTATTTTTTGGTCTCTTCCTTTTTCCCTTTTCTAGTTGGATTTTCGATTTTAATTTTTGATTTTAATTTTTGATTTTAATTTTTGATGGATTTTGATTTTTCGATTGAGGAACCGAACAATTATATATTAAGCTGGTTGTCCTCGTCCATCATTGATCCTTCTCTCTACCTCTATACTTCCAAAGACAGACGAAGCACACACACCACTATCAAAGATACCTATCTACATCGAACCACAGCCAATACCAACCCAACAACCAACCACCACAAACGACCACCACCACCACCACCACCACCACCACCAACCTACACCACCTACAATCAACATGCCTTCCGTCGGCGGTTCTGCTTCCCAATTCCCTCCCTGCCCGGGTCCTCCCCCCAAGGGCCCTCTGCCTCCTCTCCCCAAGTAACTGGACAAAACACCTTATTGAGACGAACGACACCTGATGACCGGCGCACCAAACAAACGGAGTTGCATTCTTCAGCATGGATATCACGACCCGCAGCCACACAACCATTCTTCATTTACTTTCTTAATTCTCGTTGGAATTTCCTCCTTTCGCGATCTACACTACACCTTTTAGTCGACGCTTTTTCGCATACCTGCATAACCTCCATTCGCTCCATTTCGGATTTCGTTTTACCTCCGGGGCGATGGATTCCACATGATTATCCTTTTTATTATTTATTTTCTTCTACTACCGATTTTATTACCACACTCTTCGAATCACCAGCGCAGGGCGCTCCTCATTTTCTTTACCCCTCGTTTTCACCCCCGCACCAAGGAAACACTCATGGCAATCCGGGCGCGACACATGCGACATGGCGACGTCAAGTGTTTCGAACGAAAAGCGGGGGCAGAGTCAAGTCACCAAAGCGGAGGCGATAAACATGCAAGAAACCGAGAGATAAAACCGACGACGATACTATGATCTCACCCCTCCATCGAACCGTCGCATCCGATTTCCTGTTTTATTTATCTTAATTATCCTTCTTTTTTTATCTTTGTCTTCATCTTGATTGGCCACCCCCTGGTTTCCCAGGCCCTCTCTCTTGCAATTGCATCAGCTCAACCCCGACTCAGCTCATCACCTCGGACGTCGGCCGTTTCGCAACCAACCAACCAGATCCCGACGCAGCCGCATCCCCGCAGGCAAGATGACGCACAGCTGCGCAATGATCCATTGCACCGGGGCGCTGTCCTCACAAGCTCCCTTTTCTCAGGCAGCCAGTGGAGTTCGTCATCCCACACAGGGCGTGGGATGACTGATGATGACCCGCACTCGGGATTTGACACATGGCACATGGGCACATGGCACGGCCTTGTTTGGTGCCTTTCTGCCCTGGTCCTGGCCCTTCCTTGCGCCTTGGCCCGCTCCGCAGGCAGTGCATGGCCTGGCCTGGCCTGGCCTGGCAAGGCTGGATGGATGGAAGGAAGGAAGAAGTAGGCAACCAGCTTTTGACTCACCCATTCGTCCATGATAATGATGATGATGATGATGATGGATGGGCTGAGCCTTGCTTCTTTCTTTTTCTTTTGTCTGTCTGGGCGAATGCGAATTGGAAAAAGACGACATCACTTATTAATTACCTATCTTTCGTTTTGTGGCTTTTCTTTATCATACACGGAACGTTTTGTGTTTTCGATTTGTTTCGATTCGCTTTTTCTTTCTTTGTTTGGGCTTTTGTTTTGATTTTCTTTTTCTTTTCTTTTTGTTATCTGAAGCAACGGCATGTATAATAGACTTAATATACCCAACACGCACGCATCTCATTCTGTCAGTGTTATCTGCAGAATATATCTAATTCTTTTGCTCATTCATCTATCCATTATTATATCTCAACGATTATATTCAATTATTTAATTGTATAAATATATATATCCCAACACTATACCCATAACAAAGGGATAGATCTCAAACCTCCATTTTTATCCCTCCCGACACAGCCGCGATTCTCCATGTAAGAATGGGATGATGATGTTTCACGAGCGCATGGCCAGGGCACCACCTCCACCACCACCGTTGCAGTAACAGCAACAGTAACTAACAGTAATAGTAACGGGCTTGATCGAGCCCACTAGGGCCGCCCTTAGTGGGTCGATAGCGCGGGCCACCATCCCTGTCCTGTGGTGACGGTAGGACGATGATTCGAGGCGGATTATTCAACCATGACATACTATCCTTCAGCCTTGGCTTTAGTCTTTCGTTCTTTTTCGGTGTTTCCGCCCCTTATCTACGGAGTATCCGAGCGATGTTAATGTTGGGACTTTTGTTTTTTTTTGCTTATTTGGGGGGGGGGGGGGGGGGTTGTCTGGGTAGGGGTGTTATTTTTATCCTGTCTATTGAGTTTGATGCTCGCTAGTTGCTTGGGGGTTGGGATCCTGCTCGTTTGTGGCGCTGATACGAGATGCGAGTCGGGTTGGTGTCGATCGGCGAGTTTCGGCAGATAGTTTGCGTGCTGGAATTATAGTTTATGGATATGGATGATGGTGTGGAATATAGACTTTGGGAAAGTGTATGTTCTGTTGAGGATCTGGTTTGGATTGGCTTGAGGGTTGGATAGGCGATAAGCCTAAGAATCACTACCTATCTGGAGCCAGCAGCAAGGAGACGAGTGGGGTTGGCTCTTCCATAATTTGAGGGGATTGTTCCGAGGCTGAATGGCTCACCCCTCGGGATTCTGTCGGTCTTCTGCCGCTGCTGTTATTGCTGTGTATTTGTTGCAGATGGAGTTGGGCTGGGATGGAATGAATTGGGTGATGCAAACATGATTAGTACGGGGGATGTACCTTGTCTACTTACAGTTAGGTACGGACTAACCCTGGATAGCAAGTATACGACTTAGGGCACAGAGCTACAAACTACAACTACAAATGCAAACTGCAGACTGCAGAGAAGACGAGATCCGATCATCGACGAGGACCAGGACCAGGGCAAGTGTCCGATCGCAGGTCAACTGACCACGGGGTGTTTCACTTTGACAATGCTGCTAATTCGGACTAGGTTAGAGGTGCGTCCGGTGGTGCTATATCATCATCGTTATTAATGTCGTGTACCCTGCCGGGAGTTCGAGTAATCCGTCCGGTTGGACCACTCGGCCGCCACTACACCCGGGAAAACCGTCAGGATAATCGTCCTCCCATTGCTGGGAGAGAGTCGGCTGCAGATTCCTATCAGATAAGAGAATGCCACCTTGCTATGATAGGAGAGTCACGAGGGGGTTGCAACGTTTAAGCACGTCGCTTTCGGCCAATCCGGCCGGCGCCATGCTGCAGTAGAGAATGCGGGCGCCTGGGATCTTTTTGCCTGAATACATGCGGCTCATGATCGACCCCGTGTCAGATTGAGTGGCCGGTGCCGGCCTTTGTGTGGAGGGAGATGGCACATTAACGCTCCATGGTTTTCAGTCGGGCGTAGACGGCATCTACTTCGGCATCTGGGGGTGAGACATTTGGTATTATCTCTCTCCTATGCAAGGTATCGAAACGACGTGGATGGGGCGCCTGTTCTGTTGCATTGCAGCTGGTTGTTGAAGTAGATACCCAATTCATCACGGAGGATCAGGGCTGTAACTCCGAGAGTATCAAGTTTCTGGATAAATTGCTTGCCAGCGTGGGGAAGGATGCTGCCTCAGGCTGCCTCAGGCACCCGACACTTCCCGCGCACCCCTCCACGTGATCCTCCACCACAACACCACCATATCGCATCGTCACTCCCTCCGCCTACCCCCCAAAGTCTAAAGCATCATGGTCCTCGAACTACACGTCTGGGGCCCGGCCTTTTCCCTGCCGTCAATTGATCCGAAATGTCTCGCTGCCATCGCTTACTTTTCCCAAGCCGTCCCTAAGGACGCCTGGGTGCTGGTCGCCAGCAGTGACCCTTCCGTCTCCCCGACTAGTACGTTGTGATCCCCTCCCCTGGCACGCCATCGCGGTTTATTGCCCCGTTGGTGAAATCATTAGCGCCCTCGGCTGACGGAATTACCCCCCGCGTCACGCAGATGAATTACCCGCGCTGAAGAACGGCCCGACTTGGGTCAGCCAATTCCGCAATATTGTGGACTACCTCCGGCAGTACTCGGACGGCGCATGGGACCTGGACTCAAACCTGAACGCGCTGGAGACAGCGGATAATACGGCGTATGTTCCTACCTCCGTTCCCAATATAGCACACAAAATATCATATTTGCAAACACGAAGAAACCTTGAAGGATTCACAACCCATATACACAAAACGCGTTACCTAACCTGAAACTAGATTCTCCTCGTTTCTTGAATCCCGCGCACAACCCCTCATCGACCTCTCCCTCTACGTATCCAGTCAGAACTACTGGCAGTGCACCTCCCCCGCATACGGCGATCTTCTCCAGTGGCCCAACCAGTGGCTGCTCCCCCCACGCATCCACTCCGCCGCAAAGGCCCGCACCGCCCACCTGGGCCTCTCCGCTCTGGACCTGGACGCCATGGAGGATCAGCGCAAACGTGACCACTCGGCCGCCGTCGCGGCGGGGAAGATCCCCGCAAACTTCATCCAGCGTCCGCGTGATACCGTCTCGAAGCTGCTGGGCCGCACGTCGCATCAGAGCCAGTTCCGGCTCGAGGCGCTAACAGGCGAGCTGTTTGAGCCCCTGGAGGCCATGCTGGGCGGGAAGGACTACCTCGTGACGGCTGACCGTCCCACCAGCTTGGATTGTTTGGCCACGGGATACTTGGCGCTGGCGCTGGTGCCGGAGCTAACATTCCCCTGGCTGCGCGACGCCATGAAGAGCAAGGCCCATAGCCTGACAGCGTACACCCAGCGCATGCGCCACAAGTGCTACGGTACGGCGGCGGTCAAGGTCGCCGACGCGTACCCGTCTCTGTCGCCGTCACCGTCGCCGTCGCACCTACCGTGGCAGACTCCGGAGCGTGCCCGTTTAGCAACCGTGGGCTACACCCTTATCAACTCTCTCGCGGACAACACCCCCATCCTGAGCTCCATCCGCGCGCAGAACCGGCTACGCCAGGCCGTCGAGTCATCCAAGGCCGACCTGTCTGACGTGGAGCGCGAAGCTCTAGCCAAGCATGCTACGGGAATGAAGAAAGACGTGCTGGTGTCAGTGGCGGCTGCCGTTGGCGGCGTGGTAGCGCTGCTCGGATACATGGTACAGACGGGGTTCTTCTCACATGAGGGCGAGGAGGAGTACGAAGAAGAAGAAGAAGAATACGAGGAGGAACCGCTCGAGATTGAGGTGGGAGAGGCGCCGGACGCGTTTGGGGTGATGGGATTGTAAAGGAGGAAGGATTTGGATGTATAACATGTACTCTGTATGCCTATATTTGTTTTCAAGCCTGTTATGGGGGTTTTGGGATATTGCGGGGCGATATACTCCTAGTCTTGTTGATGTCGAAGCCGCTAGGCTGTTGCTTTGTGCTCACTATCTTGGTATGCGTAGTATGAGGAAAACCTAACGGGCGGCAAGAGCCTACCCAAATGACCGTCTGTCGCAATACGAGGTTACTCACAAAGCGCAGAAGTGTCAAGACATCTTTGGTAGCCGACTGGTAATTCCTTTCCACATCATCATAGTTGATACATACATAGGTAGCCGATAAGATAGCATCACATGACCCCGCGTCTCGGCGCGCTCCATCCGCACTATACATCGCGACATTCATCACCACTCCAACCGCGATCCAAACACCATGGATCCAGATGGAGCCACCATCCTATCTGGCCTCAACTCCGCCCAGGCAGCGGCGGTCTCCTCGCCCGCCGCCATCCTCCAGGTCCTGGCGCCCCCAGGCTCCGGCAAGACCAAGACGCTGACCGCGCGCGTAGCGTACCTGCTCGCGCACCACGGCTACCGCCCTCAGGATGTCATCTGCTGCACGTTCACCATCAAGGCGAGTCGCGAGATGCGCGAGCGCCTGGCCCGACTGGTGGGCGAGCGCACGCAGTCCCGTCTCGTGCTGGGCACGTTCCACTCTATCTGTCGGCGGTACCTGGTGAGTTACGGGTATCTGATTGGGGTGTCGAAGGGGTTTGGGATTGCGGATTCGGGGGATAGTTTGGGGATTATTAAGGTATATTTCATTTCTACATGTCTCATCCGAATTGGAGGGGAGTAAGTGTTAATTCGTACTTCCTGGATAGAGAATTCTTAAACGCCTCCACTCCGCTATGCAACCCAACGCCGTCCGCTCCCGCATCTCCCACCATAAAGCGCGCGGCATCGGGCCGGAAGAGATCGCGCCTGCGAAACAAGGCAGCGAGTCCAAGGTCCTCGAGCACCGCGAGTTCATCCAAGTTTTCCGAGACTACCAGTCTCATCTAGCGGCATCAAACCTGCTAGACTACGACGACTTGCTAGTGCGGTGCGCGGAGCTCCTCCGCCAACACCCAGCGTGCGTAAGCAACGTACAAGCCGTTCTAGTGGACGAGTTCCAAGACACAAACCACATCCAGTACGAGCTGATGAACCTGCTGGCCAGCGCGCAGCGGCGCATCACCGTCGTCGGCGACCCCGACCAGAGCATCTACGGGTTTCGATCGGCAGAGATCCTCAACCTAACGCGCATGCAGCGCCGCTATCCCGACACGGCCGTCGTGCTTCTCGAAGACAATTACCGCTCGTCGGGCGCCATCCTGCGCTCCGCACAGGACGTCATCGAGCAGGATACTTCGCGCCCGCCGAAGCCGCTGATGCCGACTCACTCTGTCGGGACGATGCCCGTGCTGCGGAAGCTGCCGACGGCTGACGCCGAGGCGCAGTGGATTGTGCTGGAGATCCGGCGGTGCGTGGCGATGAGCGGGCGGATGTTGAATTATGCGGATTTCGCGATCCTGCTGCGCTCGGCGGCGCTGTCGCAGAAGATTGAGTCCGAGATGGGGAAGCAGGGCGTGCCGTATAGGATGGTTGGAGGGTTGCGGTTTTTTGACCGCGTCGAGATTAAGCTGTTGTTGGATTATTTGCGCGTTGTCAGTCAGCCTGGGAATACGGATGCCTTGCTGCGCGTGATCAATGTGCCTTCGCGGAAGATCGGGGACGAAACGATTCGGCTGTTGGTTGCGGGCGCGGAGAAGGCGAAGAAGTCGCTGTGGGAGTTTGTCAAGGACGTTGCGCAGGGTCGCCGGTCGACTGAGAAGCCCTTGTCGAAGCCTGCAAATACCGGGTTGTGTACATTTGTCGGATTGGTCGAGTCCGCGCGGCTGAAGCTCGCCGAGTGGAATGATCGCTCAGCGCCTCGCAAGCTGCTGGATTTTGTGATGAAGAAGATCTCCTTCCGGGAGTATCTGGCCGCGACACATGGCGCCAACGAGGAAAACCGCTGGGCAAACGTGGAGGAGCTGCTGGGCCAGGCTGATGACTCGGCGACCGCAGCACAGGGCGACTCCGACGCGGACGACAGTCTCCCGGAGATTGACGGCGTCGCGCAGCAGAAGGCCCACGCCGGCGAGGAGGCCCTGTCCCGTTTCCTAGCGAACGTGGCGCTGTCCACCGAGGTGCTCCCGCAGGAGGGTGCCGAAGGAGAGGATGAGAAGCAGTCGCATGAAAAAGTGACCATCTCGACCATCCACGCCGCCAAGGGCCTAGAATGGCCGGTGGTGTTCGTCCCAGCCGTGTACAACGGCATCATCCCGCACTCACGGGCCGAAGACTCGGACGAGGAGCGACGACTCCTCTACGTGGCCATGACGCGTGCGCAGGCCCTCCTCTATCTCAGCTACCCGCTGGAGCAGGCGCGGACCGGCGAGGAGACGAGTCTCACGAGTTTCCTCCCCGAGCACATCGTCCACTCGCGTTTCCGCATCGTGGGCCCCAGTCTCCTCGAACGGCACGTCTACGGCATAGCAGATATTCTACGCCGGCCGCGACCGTCTGCAGACGCCATCAGCGCCGGCCAGGTGTCGCTGCCGTCGACGCAAGACGACCAGTGGACAGCAGACGGCCACGCCATCCCCGACGCGGTCATCCGATGGGACGGGTCGCGTGCCCCAGGAGGCGAGCCGTACCCTAAACGCGCGAGACACGGAGGACAACCGACAACCACGATGATGACAGGCACCACGATGAGCGGCTCCTCCACCTTTTCTGCACCGCAAACAACCATGTCCATGGGCTTCTCCACAGCCCGGCAGTACATCGCATCGGCTCCTGATCCGACGCCGGACACCACCACCACCGCCACCAACGACAGCACCAAACCCAAACTGAATGCCAAACCTGGTCTCTCACAAGGCAGCATCGCGCATTTCTTCGGGCAGCGCCCGTCGAAACCCAGCCAAAGCGGCGTCTCCCATGCATCTACCACTACCTCCCAAACAGCACCCACCCAACCTCCACAACCGAAAACAACCCGCATCACAACCACCAACAACAATCCCCTCCCTCCCACCCTCTCCATCCACCACCGACCGCAAGCATCACGTCTGCACCGCCCAGCCCTCGAACCGTCCGACCCCAACCGCTACACGTGGCTCACCCCGCCGACAAACCCATCTGCAGCCAAACCGCCAACGCGCGACAGCAGCAGAAACACCACCACCACCACCAATAATCCCACAAACAGTGTCAACCCCAGAAATACCACCAGCGGAGTATTACCCCCGAGTGCCACTGTCAAAACGGCGCCGACCCCCGGAGCGGGGGAGACGGGCGGCATGCGTCCGGTTGCCACGTACCACACGACGACGATGTCGACGGCGCCGCGGCGTACGCTGGGCATTCGGCGGAGTATGAATGGGTGGGCGGATCGGATGAAGCGGGGGTGATTGTTTATCATTATTAATATTCTATCATTATAGGCAATGGTGCTGCAACGCAGATAGCTGCGTTGCGGTGCTGGCGGTGTTTTATTCGTGGGGGGGGGGGGGGGGGTTGACTAATTATATTATACTACAATATACATGGGAAATATGTTAATTCACCTACGGATAGTTGAACATGTGTTTGTAGATGTATCCCGTGAATGGTAAACTTTGGACAACAAGTCTCCTTTATTGATTTATCCCGACTGTTAAGTTTACTCCTGAGGTTAGTACCCCATGCCACGTTGAAAACATTCTGTATTATCTACGCGAGAATAAACTGTCGCTAGTCTAGCAACATAGTATGTGCGTGAAGTATATACCGTCCCGTCTTTACAGGGTGACTTGAACCACCGTAGGAGTATACAGCCATTATTAATCGCCTCTCCTATAACACTGAGCAAATGCAATATCACCACTTTGGTACTAGAAGACTTCAAATATATATAATAGATACATGCAGGGTCTTCCTCGTTATTACTCTCCACGATTATCCAGACCATAACCACGTTTTGACCAACACATCTAATAACTATACACACGGAATCATCCTCCGCAGGATACTACAGGAGTACTCGTACTCATACACCGGATAAGACGGGCGGACGGACGGACGGCAGACACTCCTACCACCGCTCACGCAAGAGTCCCAAAACAAGCCAAGCATGAACTAAGGACATATGTACGGAGTAACCACAAGGAAGGACACCCCTGAACCTAATCCCAACAACCCCGGAAACGGCGCATGCAGCACTGGTCATGCTTACGACTAGTTGGTTAGTTTATAGGTGTGGAGTGTGTAGGGACTAGCTTGGTTTATGTATCTATTTTGCGGACGGACTGGGGTCTCCATCGTATCTACTAGCCTTTTTCCACAGCATCTCATTGCAGATATGTAATATGGCCTGGAAGGATAGGGAGATGGTATGGAAGCGATGAATGCTGCCCTTCCTTTGAAGGGAGGTATGGCATGATACCAATAAACCAAGCTCAGGTGGTACAGCTGTCTGTCTGGTACGTCAGGCATCTATCGACGACTCTGGCGGTCTACAGCTCTCCGTCTAGTTTAGTGCTGTCCATAGTATCACGTAGTATGAGCTCGTACTCGCTGTCAGCGGGAAGGCGGCAGACCAAGACGGGATGCCTCAGGAGAGGAGTCAAGTTTGTCCTGTTTGTCCTGTGTATATATCCATCTGCCAATATTAAGGAGGAGCGGTGAGCGGTGCAGCATCACTTCGAGCGGTGGGTATGATTGGATGGACCGGTCACCTGACAGTGCTGCCTCCGGTTAACCTGAGGCAGTTTAGCAGCTACTGCCTATCGTAGAGCGTAACTGGATCGGGCTGGTCATTCACGGATGGATCCAGGATGATTCAGTTGGGAAGCTTGGGAGGTTAGGCTAGTTCCTGACCTATGCCTGATTCGAGTGGAATCCATTCCTGAAATTGCTGGGGCTAGGACACGGCCTAACTGCATTGAGTGTCCGTGTGATCTGGTGGACCTGATCTCCATCGATTCCCAATGGGGTAGGGGGGACATCGTACGTGTTCTATCGTTGTCTTCCCATGGGAATGTGTCGAGGATAGGTAGAGCTGTGAGGGAGTGGTACAATGGCATTGCACGGCTGACGTGCGAATGAAGGGGATATGGCAGGCCAGATCTCTATACCCAATTGAGTTGGCAGCATGATCAACACAGGGACAGCCTGTCCCTGCCTGGTACGGAGGTATTGGACTGTACGTGAGTCACTATCTGTAGGGTAAGATTGGCTTCTCTATGGGTCATGTCATGACTGGTATCTCTGACCATACCGCCATTTCTTTCTTCTGTGTTGGAAGAGATGATGTGTTCTGTACGGTATCAGGTACCACACCGCCCTCTTCTGGGCCTTCCTGGGCCACGTCTCCGCCTTCACCCGCCACATCAGCCGTCCGGGTTGGGAAAGGCGTTGTCAGCCTCATCAGGCAACCGTGTGGCTGGTGTCAACTGGCCAGCCTATCAATGGCCAGCATCACTAAGTATTTTCTCTCTGTTTTCGCCGTGATAGGGCCTGGACAAGGCATTGCCTCGATTGGGGTGACTGTTTGATTTGATACTGCCATCTATCTTTTGCCCTTCGAATGATATAGAAGGTAGATGATGTTATTCAGGATCTAAATTGTCCTTGTCCTCGCCTGACCATGATATTGCCCCTGGCAAAGCGGTGGAGCACCCGCCCTAGTTGGCTATGGAGCTATGGAGCAATGGAGAAAGCGGATGGGTTCCCATTCCCTTGAGTGATTTTTGTGATTGATTGCATTTATTCATTGTCCTTGGGTCTGGACCATGTCTTTCCCCCATGACGTCGGTGAATATCCTCTATTCTAGGTATCTTTCCCCCGGAATGGAGTGGAATTGGGGCGAGGTGAATGGGGGAGACCCTTCTGCAGGATCACCGATCTCGATTGGCCCTAGGGGCAGGCAGGCGTAGACTCACTTAGTAGCCTGGAGAGTATGTATCTACCGACAATTGGTGATGCTCGTCTTGTTCTATTTTGGATTGGATCTTCCACCGTCAACCTAATTCCCATTCCCACTTCCGGGGTTATTATACCATTCCCCTTTCATCTAGATACCGACTTGTTTGTAGCTTTGTGAGTCGACATACAAAAGGGCTCCCTTTCGCTTCTTGCCTCCCTGTTCGATTCTTCCATTTTGTCTTCTATTTTCTATCTTCTACTTCTATAAATCTACTCTCCCCATACTCCCTGTCTTGTCTTGTCTTGAAGACTTCCTCTTCTCCTCTACTACTACCAAAGTTGCCTTGCTCCGCCACCATCCACCCATCCATATAACCAACCCTCCTCTACCCTCAACCATCTACATCCAACATCTACATCCAACATCTACATCCAACATCTACATCCAACATCTACAACCACATCACATCAACCACCATGCCAAACAAAGCCAGCGAGTCCAATTCCACGCTGGGGAGTACCGGTAGTGGTGATCGGGTCGTTGTGACCGACCTTCGAGGTGAGTGAGATGCTCCCCGAAATAACGAGAAGACCCATAGTCTATCTCTACTATGATCCACTCCCCAACTAACCACCAAAACTAGGGTCCAATGGCGCCCCCCGTCGCTCGCAACCCCCCGTCGTCGTCCACAACCAAGGGGGCCAAATCTACGATGAAACAAGACCGGCCGACTGGGACAAACAACGTTGGAAGTGATCTCTTTTTTTCTTCTTCTTCGTTTTATCTTTTCATCTTTTGATTTCTTTCCATTTTCATTATTTTCTTTTGTTTTGTTTCAACATGCATACCCTTGAAGGGTCACCCTATACTGCTGGTCAGTTAGGGTCGAGGTCTTGGTCCTGGAAGAATATCCGCGCGGCCCAAAAGTGAGGCGGTGATCGGCCGGACTCGCAACTCCGTACGACTGGCTCGACCGGGTGCCGACGGATCTGCTCTATTCCTCTTCTTATTTTCATATTCTGTTCTTATTATTAAGGTATTATTATGGGCTATTGGTGTTATTATGGTCGGATGGGTTTGACGGAGTTCACCACAGTCTGGGTTTCTGCCTGAGGCAGCAGATTGGTCCTATGGTTTCTGTATATTAACTGTTTCTTGATTTTCCTTTCTTTTGTTTTGTCTTTTGTTTTGTTTTGTTCTTTCTCTTGTTTCGTCTTTTTATTGTATTATCCCGACATGTACTTTGTGACCAAACTGTCGATTCTTGTTCTGCTTTCTTGCTTTCTGCTTGCAACACGTGTTACATTCAAAGGACCTCTCCCCGCCAGGAAGACGAACAATAGTCCGACCGTCCTTGCAGCCCATCCGTTAGTTAACCTTCTGCAGCGGTCGGACACCTACTGGCGATGTCGATGGTTCTCCGAGTGGACAACACAATGTATCACCATTATCTTTCCTCCGTCTTTGATTCCGCATAGCGTGGGTTGGTTGTTTGACTTGGTTCTGGCTTTTGTCTCACTATGTTATTGTCATTATTGTTTACTGCCTTACTAGGTCCTACCAAGTGTTATTGAGGTATGTTTGTTTACAGTTAATACCGACGACAGCTGCATCTGCCCCAGGCCGATCATGTCATGTCGCTCGCTGATTGGCCACCGGAGGTAAATCCACGTCTCGGGAGATCATGCCTATCCTCCATCCATCCATGATCTCCTTCGTCGATACCTTATGATTCTGGGGTTCCTTGACTTGTCCGTCTACCTGTCTGCTGGCTGGTTTCCACCCGTCGTCGTCTGCCAGCTCAGTCCTACTCAGTCCTACTCATCATGGTCATGGTGAATAGGACTTTAATTTGTACGATACTATAATCATTTCTAATATCTATTACATACTACTCCGTCTGGAGTCATGTCACCGATAGTCCTCAAAATTTCTAAGTATTTAACATCTCACAAGTAGATCCATGTAGTATGATCCCTGCCAGCATTGTTCTGTATACTCCGTAGTATATACCCGTCATACAAACAAACAAACAAACAAACAACAAAGAGCATTGACATCACCCACCTTGAGAGTCAGCCAGGTTCACCCTGAGAACCTGAAACCGTGAGAGATATAGATAGGAACGTCTCACTTTCCACCCCCACAATGCCCCTGGCGATCTATATTTAGTTCTGACGAACTTGATTATATACTATTTTTCTTTCTTTGTTTCTTTATTATCTTTCATTTACTCTTCTTTTTTGATCCTTTTGTCTGACCAGATTAGTAAATAAGGACCATTTCCATCTATTATTAGTACTAACTCAGTAATAGAATCACTGGTGGTGTTGGTGATAAGAGGATGGTGACTGTAAAGTGCCACGACAGTCGTGGGTCTTACTAATCGGACAGCACAGCACAGCACAGTAATGCGTGCCTGAGGCAGAAATGCTCAGGATGCTGTAGATGCGGTGCAGGAGGTGCGTATATTTATTCTGTAGATGCTTAGAGGTCATCTATCTTGAAAGTTGGCTTCTTGTGTAATATAATTATAGCTAGGTATGATGTTATCTATGATGGCAGGATATAGACCCGTTCACTGTTTTGAAGGCCTGGGTTACTGGACACCATTCGTGGCATCTACTGGAGACTGGAGTGCACACATCATAAGAGGGGTCTTTGGGAGATGGCATAATGGGTCAGCTATCTTATCAACCTGATGAATGGAGTATAATGACTTCTTGTCTGAAGATGTGATAATCTGACTATATATATATACATACTGGTCTACTGTAGATATCCTACTGCCATTTTTATATCATAGGCTGTAGATATTTAGTGGTAATATATTTCTATACCCATAATCAAATGTTATAGTATACAGACAAGGATGCTCAATTATCCTTCTGCACAAACTTGCGAAGTGTATTCGGCCAACATTAGCTGACTTACAGTGTTTTTCCACATAGATTATCATTGACTCATGCTTTTGCAACTATCCTTAAGTATTCCATCGTCATCAGAATCATTGATGTTATCGATAATTTTGCCCCCTTTCATCGGTCCTCTCACATATACCTATTCACCCGATCGACTGAAAGCTCCGGAGTTTGTCATCATGTGGATGTATTTGAGGGTCTGGGACCAGCAGGATCTGTGTCTCTATACAGGATCAATAGACAGTGGAATAGCGGTACCTACGAAAGCCTGGACGAGGTAAAGGATATCTGAGTAGAGCTAAGCTTTGGGTATTCTATTCAGGCCACAGACTATAGTGGATTGATTCTAAATCAACTTTACCTTTTAGACTCCTTGGATTTCACAATGATGTTAAACGATTCGGTTCATTTCTCACTAACAACCAATTTCCAATTAACTAGAAATATATGTTGATCCGAAAGTCATTTATCATACAGTCATGACGCTAAAGATAGAGAAAAATGGTAAGACATGCTAATATACTCCCTGCCCTTAGAGGTGAGTTGACAGGTACATCATATTTCAAGACCACTACGCCTAAACGTTGACCAGCGTTTGGTATAGGGCTTAACTTGATTGATATACCCAACATCATATATTAAAGAACAGTGATAACATATTCCCAGACCATTCAAAACTTACTGAGATAAGCATCAAAACATCCAGTGCCCAATGTTCAACAACCTATCAAGCCAACCAGGCTTACTCGCTAGTGCCAGCCTCTTCAGCACACACGAAAACCAAAAGCCAGTAATCAACAACCCCTCCCCGCTCCGAATATCCCAGCTGAACCCGACTAGCTTCATTCGGAGATGGGAAAGGAATCAAGAAAAAAAAAAAAAGCAAAAGTCAAACATTCATGAGCTTTGCTGATTCTCTTCTCCATCTTAGTCTTCGATTCTATTTCTTTCACCTATGCGAGAAGCTAGAAACCGCTCTATATATACCCACACATTATCAATAATCTAGTCCAACCGACGCGTCCTCGATACAAGCGAGCAGACGCTCTTCAAACATGGCTATCCCACGCGCCCTCTTCAGTACGAGAGTGACTCTCACCACTACCGCGATGTCATGCGGGGGATTTGGCTGACGTGACCACCACCATAGGGTACATGCCCATGATCGGGTTCCACCATGTTATAATGGTGGTCTGCTCGATTGCGATAATCCTCCTATGTCAGTAGTTGATGGTCAATGTTTGCGATCGATGAGCGATCATGTTAGTAACAAACAGCAGCGATCGTCCTCGCCGGATGCACCTCTACCAACGGCCTGAGCAACGTGTATCTGGTCTCCCTCAAGTATAGGGACATCAACACGCCGAGTCCAGTGGACGCTGCGATGGTCAACCCTGGCATTGCGGACAAAGTCTACAATGTGACGCAGCCTCGCAATGCGACCATCACGGAGATCCGCGCTGCGTACATGGGTCTCTGTTTGATTCGCAATGATGGCTTGCGGTTTTGCTCGAATAGCGCTGAGGCGCTGGCGAGCTTGGCTAAGGAAACTGGGAACTCGACTGCGGATCCGCTGAATCTGATCTGGATTGCGAAGCGTTTTAAAGATACGATGGTTTTTGATGGGCTGATGTAGGTTTTCTTTTCTTTGCATCTCTCTTGATTCTACTCTATTTGTCCATCCCCCACGGAGTGTGCAAATGCTTAAAGGCCGCAGCTTCATCGCCATCGTCTTAACCTTTATATGCTTTGTCCTACTATGGACCTTTCCAGGGTGGCACGAAGAGGTTAACGACGATGGGTCAGAAATCGATGTCAAGCCCTTCCCATCCAGGCCTGTGTCGCTGGCCGCGCTAGGGCTGATATCACTGGGCTTCATGTTCGGGCTGATCTCGATTCTGTGGCAGCACATCAATAGCAGTGCTGCCGGGACGATGGCCGAGGGTCTCACATATGGCGCCGTCGAGAGCCATGTGGGGATCGCGGCCGTGGTGCTCGGATGGGCTGCGGTGGTGTGCATGGGTCTTTCGACCTTCGCGCTTCTGATCATGATTTGGAGTATTTCGCTGATTCGTGTGTTGACGGAGGACGACTGATATCGTTTTTCAAGTATGTGTGCGAACATTGGGCTTATATTGATTGAGCGGACCCTTCGGGTGTCATGTACCTATTGGGAAAGTTGGGTTGTCAAAATACGATTAGTTTATTTAGCGACACAGCGGCGATGTTAGAATATAGGTTAACTTCTGGTTGTAGGATCTGGCCATAATGAGCGTAGTTAACTGGGATCAAGATAGGGTTCTGAGGACCGGTCCGTCTCGTAGGTAACACTCCCTCGCGCAAAGTGGGAATTTCTAGAAAATACTAGCCCCATGGACAGGATGCCAGCGCCTAAGAGCAGAATGATTACAATGGCCGTGGTCAGACCAGCCTTAACCCCCGTTGCCAACGGTCGCGTCCATATGAGCGCCAGTGGAACGATGAATAGAGCCGCGAACCCAAGACCACCAAGAAGGAGGAATCGGGTGGTGCGCGGGATGCGCTTGAGCAAACCCACTATGAGTTCTGGAAATGCGTTTCGAAACTCGGGCTTCGAATTTCTCCAGTATGGAATCCCGACGAGAACCACAATCGCAATAAGAATAGGAACAGTAACCGTGGTCTGCACACCGTGATCGAGGTTTCGAGTCCACAAGACAGAAAGCGGTACGACTGCAACGAGGCCGACAAGCGTAACCAAGCTGATGGGGAATCCAACGACCTTCCATAACCGCACACCAGCCCTGCGACTGTGTCGTGTTATCCACACCGAGGTGAACTTACTGCTGCGTTTGACGACGCTTCCGGACCACAGGAGGAGCAGGAGCATCGACAGAGACCGGGCCTGCACGGGGAGACTGTGCTGCTCCGCGTACCGTCTAACATCGAGCTTAACACTCTGCTTCACGCTGGAGAGCCACTGGCTGCGCATAGTAAGGCGCATCAAGTACGCAAATGTCGTCACAGAAATCGCCACGACGAGGAAGTTCCATAAGGGGACCGAGTCCTCGAACGGCTTGATTTGCATCCCAAATATAGACGTGGAGAACGATAAAGGGATAAAGAGGAAGGCTAGCTCAGTGAGTCTAGTCACGGCGTGAGCCTCGTCGATCGAGCGCCGACTGTCAAGAAGGCCCATGTTGGACGTCAATGCCGTAGATCCACGGCGGAGCCGTTCTAACATCTTGTCAATTTCCTGGAAGAGATCTGATACGCCGCTGCTGATATCATCGTCATCCACGGTGATTGAAGGCGTATCTGGTATGTGCGTAATACCGAAATAAAACAGGAAGCTCTTGGTTGAAGTCTTTAGTTCGGTGAGCTCTTTTTCTGCCCTCTTGATGAGTTGACGCCATAAAGCTAGCCGATCTTCCATCTTGGTGTCATCGAGAAGATCATTATCCATGTCACTCAAGATCTGGCCCAGGACCTGGAGCAAGGTTGACGTGTCTTTTCGGATGATCCCGAACAACATGTCAAGTAGACTGGCCTCCATACCCTGTCTGTCCATTATCTCAGCAAACTCCTGACGCGTGGATCTGGTCTCGGTGAGCTCCTTTTGAAGGGTGCTCACGTTGGACGCATCATCTGCGAAGAATGCCTCCTCTAGATCGATGGTGATGGACTTGCGAGGGGCCATCTGTTTGACTAGTACCTGGAGGCTTGTCATGACATTTATCGTTTTCTCGCTGACTTTGCGTTTCCGTCGTCTGTGTAGCCAGCTCAGCACTGGTCGTCGTTCCGTTTCTCGCCGTGGGTTCTCAATCGGAATCTCCAGTCGCTCGACTGTATCGTCACCGTCTATTATTATAATTGGCTGAGTTGTCGTTCCATCCATATTGCCGTTGTCATGATCATCATCATCATCATCGCTCACGATATATCCATCGTCTGTACCAGCATCGCTTTCCTGAACTTGTAAAGTCATATTGTGACTGACGCTAATCTTCGGCAACGGATCAAGCAGTACAACAGCTTCGTTTCTGGTCAGCATTACCAGGACTTGCAGCTTGGGTCTGGAAACCAACCAATCTCATATCCCCTGTTCTTGTCAAACTTTCTCCAGATTGACGTTCGCTCCACCAAGCCAAACTCCCCCATATCGTCCATTGTGCCTCGAGGATTGATGCGCAGATCCCACTCTGAGCGGAAGATATTCGTCTCCGCCCGGATATTAATCGGCGAGCCCCCCGAAGTATACTCCAAACCATCATTATCCACATCAAGCAGGTCTTCACGGTCGCGCCTCGAAAAAATAGGAAGTCGTCGGTACACAGGCCGGAACCACTGGATCGAAGTATATGACTTCGGCAGTCTGGCTGTTGTCCACGACTGTGCTGGGGGATCATTGTACTTCGCTCCGCTCCATCCAGAATTAAGCAGATGCTCCTCAAAGAATTCTGGTGTGATCCCGAACGTCTCTCCAAAGCAATGAATTGCTCTCACGGAGAGATCCTCGATAAGAAAGACGCGCCTTCTTAACCCCTCTGACACATCCCGGAAATCGGAGACTGACTCCGGACCTTCTAGCCCTACGCGCGTCACCAAGCCATCACCGTAATACTCATACAGTGTGATAGAGGTATTCCGTAAGCGGGGTTCTGCACGTATATTGCCATTTTTGATGTGGTCGAACACGTCTGCCGCGCGAGCGAGAACCCGATCATAGGGCTGATATGACTGCGACTGCGATTGCGACTGCCACTGGGGCCTCTGTCTCGGTCTCGTGACTACCTGCTGCGACAAGCGCCTCCCCGCTGGCGACGGGGTTCGTGATTCCGGCAGCGGAACTGAGGCCGCTGGAATTAAGGTGCCGTGTCGGTCGACCATATGCAGTGAATCCCGCGCTGTATTTCCATCCCGGTCCTCATATCCTCTGGAGCCTTCGGCGATGCTACTGGACATGGATGTCCCATCACTGGATTCGGGCAACGGGATCTGCTCTGGGACCCAGGCTTGTGTAGCCGGCTCGTGGCGGAGAGCATCCTCGAGTGAACTTCGAGGTTTTGGCTTTGCTTTACGCAACTTTCGGGAAGCATCCTCCGCTTCGGCGTGTTGCTGCTTGATCCATTCCTGAACGTGGCGAGAGGGCTGTTGGGCCATGGTTCAGACTTTTAAATGTGTCTAAAACCAATACACCATATACGGGAATCGACTGTCGCAAGGGTACCACGGTCCTCCGAGCACTGATGTTCGGATGCGAAGTGGAAGGCCCATGGTTAGTGGGACTGTGACTCGACTAGCGAGTAGCGACAAGGATTGCTAGCGAGCTTCGTATTGGTCCCTTTTCACACGCACCAATCAAATGAGACACATGTGCAAAAAAGCAAACATGAGGAGCCTCAGCTGAAAAGTTGCTCTAGGCCCTTGAAATGGTACTCATTCAGCCTCTGCCTTTCATTAGCTTGCGCTGCTATTTGCTCACCTGATTTACGCATATATCGCTTAAGACCCTGCTGTTGATGTGTGCATTATCTGAAGTGAGACGATCCGCCGAGTTGCACACATTGTGTGAGCATAGATCAATGAAATTGATGGAATCTTGACAAAAGTGATGGGATTGATGAGGTTGAACGAGGTGAAATATGTCAAGTCAAAATCCACGGAATGATAATGGCCAGTCCTTCGTAGTCAGGTGACAGATCACGGGACCACCCATCGCAGTTGCCATATACCATTTCCCACACATTGTATGTGAGTGAATTAACACGGCTGATAAGTCCAGATGTAGTATGCAGTTTCTTGATATCGATATTTGTGACAATATAGTCATTTCTTGTGCAATTAACCTGGGTATGAAACGTCCTAATTTGGCCACCAACCCATTTGAGCCCTACTGCATTAGCATGTCAACTGGAAGTATGAGCCAATAAACCCTAAGATGTCAGTACGGTCTATCTGTCTACAGCTCTAGACGGTATCTTCATGAGTTCATGACTTTATCACGGTATATTTTATTATAGCCATTGTTCCCGACGGTGCAACAATGTGGAGCGGCTCGTGCCGTCTCGGCACGGATATCCCGGCCATCTACCGTTGTTTAGCTAGAGGAAGGTACTACTAGATAGTGGACTATCATGTTCCTTCCTCTTCTCTTCCATGTAGCCACGTTTTTCTACGTAGTGTGTCTTTTTCGACCCCACAGAGGGTCTATCAAGCAATCTGTCTGTCCAAAAGCATAGATCACTTAACATACTCGAGACGAGTCAGTGCTACTCATATGATGCTAAAAGTATGATTCATTAGCCAAGGGAAACCAACCCACTTCGAGTGGTTGATGGCCAGCACCGCGTGGTTCGGATTGGACCCGTTGCATAGAGTTGGCAAGGGCATCAGATGATCACGTGGAGTTATCTGAGACAGATGACAGCCTTTCTGGTTGCAGGATTCAGGAACATGATCCTTGTGTTCTCCCCTCCGGAGGTCCGATACGGCATCCTACAGGAATACACAGATGTCCCACTGCGGTGATAGCCGTTAGGCGTCACATGGTGAAATTGCCTTTCCTGCGGATGAAAGAAGCCGCAACTAATACATATTTGGGTTGTTGGGGGTTGATGTTACATTCATGACTGCAGCCACTTTACTCACCCGAGGGCAAACAAATGGGGCCAAAACTCCATTTACTCTTTCAAGAAAGCGGCGAAGTGTCTAGTGGAGGAGGATTTACCTGTAACATCCTATAGCCACCATGGATACTGAGCCTGGTGGCGCTGCACATTCACTGGGCACTGTCTTTCCCCTCTCCCACCCCGCGATATTGATTAAAATCCTCAGTATCAATGTTACCCCATATGACTGGTTCTGTATATTGGCGCATTGTTTGCATTTGTCTCAATTAGTGTGATGATGGGGCCAATGATACAAAGTAGAGTTATCTTGGGGGAACGGCTCAGACCCCAAGAGAAAGGTATATAAGTAGGCTGCGAGTACAGCTCAGTTGTTTGACCAGACAAGAAAACCAAAAACAACAACAATCAAACAACCTACTATCCATCAAAATGAGGTTCGAGACTATCTTCTTGCTTGCCCTTGGAGGCGTCGCTTCTGCTACCCGGAGCGCAGGTACGCTTATCACTATCCATTGGAGATATGTACTTGCTAATCAAGGGCACAGTCGTCGAAGGAACCACCATTTATGCTGATGGAACCACCATCTGGGCAGAGAACATCACCCCCGCACCCTCCGTGCCTCAAGCGACCAGGACTGTAGAAATTGACGGAACTACCATCCACTACGACGGCACCACCATCTGGACTCTCGCAGTGGTGACGGCCACCGTACACTGATCGACATATCATCAACCACGGCCTGTCCGATTATAAATATTGGTGATGGATGGATCAAGTGGCTGGCACTTGGGGGGAACAAATGTGATGTTATGAAGGCAGGTCTTTTATTTGATGTCAGATGGTTGGAATGTGTTACGCTTGTCAATGCGAAGAAACTTGAAACCCTAGGAAACATTTATATTGGGATTACTAGATAATTCGCACCCCGAATCGGCGGTGAGGGGTATATTGAGGCTCGCTTCCGGTATCATTAGCATTTATGTCTGACAGTGGTGTGCATATACCATGCTCCCCTGGCTGTGTTGTGGTTTGAGTGATAGGCATTGTCACTTATATACTTTGTATGGCAAAGAATACCAGTCAACTACAAAGGATATCTAGACACTTCTGAGATCCGTGAATACTCTTTATAGCCATATTATATTGCGGCACCATCCAATAGAACCCGAGGGTCATAGTAAGGGAGACCAGGTATTGGTAGCAGGACACCAGACCGCGCTTGGTCGTTTGGTCCCGTACTATTTTGATTCTCCATAGTCTTCATCATTCTTTTCAGTCATTGAAAATCATCATTTTCATCACGGTCTGGCTTGATATTACTGTTTTTCGCGCCAGGGTAAATGGATCGGCTCCATGTGGCTATAAAAAGCGACCTAGGTCGTCAAGTTGTCTTCGTTCATGAACCAAAGCCAAACGCACCCAAGTGACTCACTACGTGGGAGGTAACATTGTTGCCGGCTATCATCTCGCGCATCTTGAGGCGCCGCCGCATCAATCTCCTTCAGAACGTAATTCGACGGGCAAATATATTGATGCATTTTTGCTTTTGAAGGGTGAAGGTAGACCGGGAGGAGAAGCCCTCGTAAGCGGTTAATATATACCTGTCTTGACGGAAGAGCCAGCCATAAAGATGGCAAGATGATCTCTATGTGAGCGTCGACACAACGCAAAGATCCAAGTTCAATGTTATATATGGGGTCATATTGTCTAAACTCTCAATAGCATAATGCTTTACCCAAGGGTCAATTGTTGTCATTGTTTGCACCCTCGCTGCTACAAAAAGAAATTACATCTAGAGATTTCTCTTAGTAAAAGAGAATCGTGCATATTCCGGTCTCCAGTATCATATGACAATGATATCATATATCTTGTTCCATGTATATAGACCACAATAGCATTCCCTAACAATGACTTTGTAGCTGATAAGCAGTGATATCAGCCCACATATTGCATACGAATTCAATCTGTCGCCCCTTGATATAAGCACCCATTGATCGTCCAAAACTAGCCCCATCTCAAGTCAGACACACACACGGACCATACGAATACAACACCGGGCTGAAACGCATGTGGAGCCGATGAAGTCATATCTGACAGTCTTATGGCTGACGTGGGGTCCAGAGAGAACTTTATCTCCACCTCACTAACTCTCAATCACACGAAGTCTATTTCTGGTACATACTATGCATTTGGTAGACTCGAGATTAGTTAGTAATGGACACAGTATAGCAAGTGTTGTCGCTACAAGCGAAAGATTTCCCCATGTGGCTTGCTTCATAATTATACGTAACCGTATGAACACCACCCTGAGATTGATTGAACGTAGGTATACCAGGGTAGATTTTTTAAGGTCATTGGACGAAGCAAGCAATGGTTAACGCGTGAAAAAAGACGGTCTAGCAGTGGAGTGGATATAAGCTATAATCACTAAATCTTGCCCCACTGTCCCGGACTTCTGCAGTGCCGTCGATCGAACTATCTTTGGCAGTGATTGGAATGAAATATCCAGTGCTATGTATAAGCCGGAACAATAGAGAAGTTAGTACTGCAAATCATGCCCCTAAAGAAGGCAGTGCATCCAGCTTGTATGGTCTAGATCCAATCTACCAGACTATATAAGACCCCTTAATGGTCTCACATTTTCGACAACGAACAAATCCAACTAGACTTCAAACTGAATCGTTCTACCTTATCACAACTTTCAAACCAAGTCACTCTCCACCACCAAAATGCAACTCATCACTGCCTTCGTTGCCTCCGTGTTGGCCACCTCCGCAAATGCCGTGACTTACTCAGGCATGGTGTACTTTGCCGACGCAGGCGACTGCCCGTCCGCGACGGCCAGCACCCCAGTCTTGAACTTTGATTATTCATACGACAACCTTTGTTTATCCGTCGCTGATAACTCGGACTGGGACAGCGATGATTATGGCGCTATCATGCAAGCCAGCGTCACCGGAGCAAACAACATCGGCCCGAAGAAGTTCGGTGGATGTCCCACGAGCGAGTGTGACAAGGATTGCACGACTGTCGACATCGAGGGCGATAATGGTAACTCTCTTACGGCGGAGTGCGTGCAGGTTAAGGGCGCACCGTATGTCTATATCGGAAACTAAAGAGCTTGTCTATGATTGTGGTGGGATGAAATGACACTTCGAGGATTATCTCATGTTCTTTGATTTGGTATTGGGATTTGTTGATATTTATACTGGACAGTATGTGTCTGATGATTATATGTTTGAACACTTTTTATATCTAAAACAACAAAGTCTATTTTTGTCTCTCAATAACAGTAGAATATTGAGGATTACTTGAATTCCTGGTGACTCGTATTGACGCTCCTTCTTGTCTACCGCGATGTCTTTGTGTAGCCCGACGTAAATGTGATTGGATTCCCACAGAAGTTCTACCTTCGCTGGGTTGTCAATCTTCACATCAAATCCCGAGCGTCTCATTGTTATAACCATAACCCCGAATCGGACGGAAACAGCTCATCGTTTCTCAAGTCCTGCATGATTTGGACGACGGCGCCAAGCCATACTCACCAGCATTTAGTAAACCCCTGTAAATGCGCCAGTTTTGATGAGATCAAAGCAAGGATCAGATGACAAAGAATTCGCGAGAAACACCTAATATCAAAAGAATACAAGTTGGCGAAGCACTATTCCTGAATATACAATGTTGCCATGTACTAGAATCGAGCATATAAGGTTTCATGAAGACTTGATGCGGACACCTGACCGCCGAAACCCTAACTAGTGCCTGTCTGATGTCGTTGTTACTATGAGGGTTCTCTTCTGTGTTTTTCCAAACATAATATTTTCGAGATAGTAGAATGGCCTAAAAACTAATAAAGATGTGATTAGACTGCTTCGAATAGAAGGTGATAATACATTTAATGACCAAGAGTCCTGTGTACCCTTCTCCTTGAGTATGGGAAATCGATTCGAAAGGCATTTGTCTCTCTTCTGTCTTATTTTGTATCGCTTGCCATATCTTAGAAAAGAACAGAAAAAGGCTTTTTTTAGTAAAAGAGTTACTGGACCCACTTGATTGGCCTCATCTATCTTGCAGGCCAACTGATTTATAAACACAAGGCTGAGACACTATGCCATGACTTGCATCCTCCATTATGCACCGAGTGGCTATTGATGCTATATTTTGCTATAACAGTGGTATATGCTCCTGGATATGGATTGATGATTTTGCAAAGGATTATGATACTCAAATGTGTACGATGGATGTGTAAGCAAGCTACACTTCAATGGAACTTCCCTGACTCCGTATACTGAAGTAACCCAGGTGTCCGACCATGTGGATCTTGCAACAGACGCTACATCAATACATCACCCAAATCCCCATCTAAAGTGGTCAGCCCGTATAGAATGGGAACTTAAAACAGAAACGCGCTGGTTGGGCTGCGGAGCGGAAAACTTAGATCCATTTGGATACTGGTTCCATAACAGCGCTGTAAGGCGACTATCATCACGGCTCAGTCTGACACAGCCTTGCAGCCCCGACTGGCTACTAATATTTCACGCGACTCACCACGCAAGGCTCTCTCGTAAATATGAAATTTGCTTCATATTTCTTCTCCTCCTGCGTAAGTCATCTGTTGCAGAAATTGCCAGAAAATCTCACGATGGGGAACTCCACGGATTGTGGAGACCCTCAATATGGTTTTGCCAATTTTGACAATCTTTTTGAGTGTGACGAAGAGTTCGGGAGTATGCATACGGATGGCGAAAATGTTTATATTGATACAGTATGGGATTGTGTGACTTAATATTGCCAGCAACCTGACAGTCGCCTCAAAGGGTGTGAGTATCTCGATGATGAAGGCTGGTTTCATACAGTCAGAGAAGGCGGATCCTGCTACTTCACCGGCGATATGTGTATTGGGATCAACAGTGAGGTTAATCCTGATCTGGGAGGCCCCGGCGTGAGTCCACGCATCTCTACCGCAGAGATATTGCTGAAGATTGAGCTGATCCTGTCATTTGATCCCTAGGTCTTTATTTCGTATCTTATGCAAATTGGCATTGTCTTCTATGTTTTTCTCTTTCTCCGCGTATTCCGTCTGATCCTAAGAGTTGCGTCCTTCATCACTCGTTTCAAGCGTTCTCGCAATACCGAATCTGCCAATGTGAGAGGAGACAAGATCCGTCATTTCTTCAAGCAGCACGACTTGATACTCAAGACAGTTTTGGTGGAGTTCCAAGAAGCGCAATGCTTCATCATGATCGCATCCCAGGCAGCAATTCTGGCAGCCCACAAGTTTCAAGCCGTGTACGAAGCGATAACGTACCAAATGTTGATAGCAAACCAGGGAATTGCCGGTATGGTCTCCATGGCAGGCATTCTGCCCGTCGTCCTTGCCATGTGGTGTCTGCAAAAGTGGCACCGCAACTCCCCGTGGATCTTCTTCCTCTCCTGTGCGGCGTTCGTCTTGTCCGAAGTGGCACTGTATCTTGTCCCTCTGCCACAGATAAAGGACCTCGACGAGGTCAATCGCAGCGATTGGCCCGAGAGCTGCGGCGGGTTCCCGCCGCCCCTAGTTTACTGCATCGATCCATCTACTGGGGGGCAAGCCCTCTCTCCACAGCGGTTCTTCCGTTCTATTTTAAACCCAATCTGCTCCCTAATATGGTTCATTATTGTCATTAAATGGATATGGTCATACGTACATGATGGGAGCAAATCACCCGCGCGTCGTGGGACGCTGCGTGCTCTTATCCAGCCCCTGAAAGCCTACGACTGGCTGCAGCGCTTTCGCCAGTCGAAATGGGGACTCCGGATTGGGCGCGTTTTCCCAGCATTTACTGTCATCGTTGAAGTGCTCTTCATCCTGGATGTATGTGTCGACGCCAACTGTTTTTGGTTCATCCGCACTATGAATATTATTGATTTCGGTCACTGGTCTTTCGGTCAGCTTGTCGCTATTACGGTCTGGCTTCCAGTGATTAGCAAATACTTTCTTCTTATGGGTAAGCACGTCTCGTATACTCAGAGCAAGGCGCATTATTTAACGATTGGCATCTAGGCGGCATTTCATCTTACTCCCGCTCGCGGTTCCCCAAAGGCTACAGGATCGTCAAAGAGCGCACCACTGATACCGAAAATGATGTCTCCCAGTCGGCGCACCTTCCAGTCTCATAAACCGTGACAGCAACAAGACACCGAACCTCTTCTCTTCTAGCGGCACCTGGTTGGACATATCGCGTGTGACTTGAGTTGGTTGACATGCCGATTGACTTCCACTTAACTTCAGAATACGCCCCACAGCTCACCCATCTCTCTGTATAGTTCCATTTGAAGCTCCATGAACATATGTAGGATCCTACCCGCCTCGCCTGCGTAACAAATATGAGCCTTATTCATAGATCAAGGCATCAGGAGGGAGCCGATTGGAGTGTTCCATGAACACAGGACTCGTCTTGCAGACTTGCAGATGGTTTGGCACACTCGAACAGCGTGGACGGGGCGTACAGAATTTGTATATAGGCTAGGATCAATGTGGTTCGATCCAGCGGTTTCGAAAGACGAGCATATGGGGGCGATGGTTAAAGTGTATCCACTGCTGCCACATCGCATGTGATGATTAAAAGTATCAACAAGATATTAATGACTCCAAGGACGATGAGGTTTGGCTTTTGGCGTGTATGTAAGTTCATACAACGCCCATACTCTCACTAGTTTGAAGGTCTGCAGCGATGCACCACCGCCGTGGGCCAGCGCTGCCTGCTTCTCTTATCTCATCAATCCACCAAGTACCAATCTTGTTGAATCGGACACTAAAGGCGTGGGAGAGGTCCTGAAGCGTTTGAGAGGCCTCGACGACGCATATAAAGCGACCATTGGCTCATTAGCTTGAAAACAAATTGCAATTGTCATGTGCCCAGCCGACCATATTGATGCAGGCACATCCATCTCCAAATTTAACCTCGGCTCCTTGTCCACCATCAGTATTCGATGGCGAATTTTGCGTGAAATGGAAGCTTGAATTAAAGTTTTAGAAGGCTTGACGGGCTCGTCATCGATTGAAGTTGCGAGGACTATCCTTATCAAATCCCAGCTGGTGCAAGCTGGTCTTGCACCAGCAAAATTTGGAGTGGAAATTAGTTCAAACGGACTATGTCGACTATTGACTATGTTTGCTGTGGCAGAAATGTATCTTAGGAGAGGATAAGAATGAGAAGCCTTGCTGTGACCGAGGAATGAGGAAAAGCTGTCTACACTAGTGCAATATTTGGTGAGAGTGGTTGGCCCAATTCTAAGGCAATTAGTTCAGACCTTTCACGTGAAATAGCGTCTTCTATCCTCGCAAAAGAGCGAGAAATTTCAGATTTCGTACTATCAATGATAATATGGGACAGCTTCAGTGGCTGCAAAGGACACCCGGACCCTGAAATGCTCAATGATTACAGCCGCAACCCTCTGAGTCTATGATTTTGAAAGAGGTTACGGAGCCCTAGCTCGGTAGCGACGCAAAAATCATAATCAAGAGTGAAAACACATGACCGCGCGGAACGGACGCGATTTACAACAGAGAAAGTGGTGGAGACAAGCAACATCCCCGAGTGGAGACTGATCGTCCACTAGCTTCAGTTTTGGTCTCCGAAGTAGGGTCCCCATTTTGAGTGTCGGAAAAGTGGCACCTAGAATATGGAGAATCATGCAATTTTAGCTTGTATGGTATAAACTCAAGATAAGCACGAGCTCCCATTCCGCGAAGGTGGTCACATATGGATGATCACAACTGTGTCTATAAATCCCACTGGGGCGCCCGATAGTGTGACTTTTCTACATCACACCACCTGTTGCGCCCCATTGCGACAATCCCCCGGCAGATATCGATTTGTTCGCCATGGAAGCGGTGCAGGAAAAGAACGCCCTGGGTGACTCCCAAAAGAATCTCACACGCCAACATGAAGACAAGGAGTCTCAGGAAGCAGCGCTTGAGAATCCTACAGAGCCAACAGGAGATAAAGATTCGACTGAAAAGACACAAAATGCCACTCAACCGCCCAGCAAACTGGACCCGGCTCATTCATTTCCAGCGCCTGGGATTGAGGCTCAGGGTATTTATACGAATTGGCAGTTTATACTGGTTTTTGTCGTAAGGCATATCCGCATCCTCCAAGATAGTAAACACTCTGTGTGATACTAACCACAGTCACAAAGTCAATCTCGTTGGGTTTCAATGCGTCTTTCCTCGGAACGGTCAATAGCTGGAATGGAGGACAGGTTTTTCTTCCAGCGATGCTCCTACTCCGGCGCATATACAACCTTCTCAGACCTATTAACTTACTCGCAATTTCAGCCGGTGTCAACGTGGCCAACGTTGCCGACGGGCTAGATCTGGCCCAGATGGCACACGGTGTGAATACCACACAGCTCGGGTCAAGCCTATTTCCGGATGATATGTTCTGGGGGGTCGTGCACACAAACCCGCAAGAGTTTGCCTCGGGGTTCAACTTCACTGGCATCGCGCGGAGTCTGAACATGGGAGAGATTCTGCCATCAATTAACGTGACGCAGATTGCGTCAGGCCTTCAGATGGCGGACCTTGTATCCGGTCTCAATGTCACAAACTCAGTGCCGGCTGCATATAACGAATTTCCTGCCGGTGTGCATGACTTGAGGTCGGCGCTCTGGATTTATCCCACTTTGATGTTCACCCAGACGCTCAGTTCTGTTTTCTTTGGGCGTCTGTCGGACTATGTTGGCCGTCGGTGGATTTTTCTTTTCGGAAACGCTGTGTCGCTCGCGGCATTCCTCGCAGCGGGACGCTCTGACCAGGGCGTCAACATGACTGGCTTGGTATATAATACTTCTTTCTCGCTCATCCCATATACCATGACTTGTAGCTGACTGGCTGTGTAGAGTGCCCTCTTGGGAATTGGTACAGGGATTCAGGTCCTCGGACCCTGGTTGGCACTTGCAGAACTGGTTCCTGTCCGTCAGCGGTTTACAGTAACAGGTCTCTGTTTGAGTCTCCTTGGCCCCCTACTGGTCTTGCACGTCATTGTTGGTAAGTCAGTCACTTCGGGAAAGGGGGCGATGAGGTTGGCTAACGACCACCTGAAGTTTCTGCACTGGAACGGAACACAAGTGAAGGCTGGAGGTGGGGTTATTATATTAATGCAATTTTCTCGTTCGCCTCGTTAATAGGGCTATTTATTGCATACCATCCGCCAACATATCACCAATTGCACAACCATCCCGTCGAAGATCCTCCAGTCAAAGACTGGCTGGGCCTGTCTATATTTACCACTGCTATTGCGATGGTCACTTATTCCCTCGGCTGGGGAAAGTTTATCTGGGGTTAGTGCTGGTTTCCTGTCCAGGAGACGGTATACACTGACAAAGGCATAGTTTGGTCTGCTCCCCAGATAATTGCCGTTATCACAATAAGTGGTTTTGTCCTGCTTGCGTTTTTGGTATATGGTAAGGATATTAAGCAAAATGGACATGAGAAAGTGTACTCATGGAAATACAGAATACAACTACGGCAACGACCACAATGCTTACCCAGCCTACTTGATGCGAAGCCTCACACATGTGTCGCAGATGGCTCTCGCGGGATTGCATTCACTTGTCTGGTGGTTTGCACCTATAGCTCAACTGGTGGTCTTTTTGACAGTGACGCCTCGATTTGGCCTGCAAGGAGCATGGGAGAACGTGAGTGTTAACTATTGCATTAACAGCAGGGAGGAGTACATTACTGACACATTTACAGTTGTGGGCCGCAGGGCTGGTAGCCGGCTTTCTGTTGGCTTCTCTAACATTGGTCCAGCCAAAGTACCTCAAATGGCACGTCGCCGTGGGAGCTGTCTTCGGAATGGGATTCCTTGCTTGTCTTCGGGCCTTGATCCATACGAATCAGTATCGCCTAAGTATGGCGTTCTTCTTTCTGGCAGGCTTGGGACACGGATATGTGACTGTGGTCTTGTACGTGACAGGGCCCATGTCCGCTCATAAGCGCGATATGGGGCTCGTCGTCGGCCTAGTATCGGCTTACAGAAATATGATTTTCTCCGTCATCCGTAAGTCTCGAGCCCCCCTACGGGTTCATGGGTGACTTATCGCTAACCATGTTGTTACATAGGATCCGTGTTCTTGACTCTTGTAAGATATGCGCTCATCATTACCAACGTGATATGCCATGCTAACGAGATGTGCAGTACGTCAACCAACTGATGGGCAAAATGCAAAGAATCCTACTCCCAGCATTCGCAAAGGCAGGGCCCGTACCGAAAACATTAAGGAGCATCTTTGATGGTATTGCCGAAGTCCAAGCAACTGGCGATATGCGCGCTCTGACTCAGCTTCCTATTACGAAGACGATGACCAGTGCTCTGGCTACGACCTGCGGCCGGTCGTGGCAGTACGTCATTGTGCTGGCTTATATATACTTCTTCGTTGTCATGATCTATAGTTTTGTGGCGCCTAGCACTGACAGGTACCTGTCTGATCGGGTGAATGTTCGTTTAAACCGTGGTGGTTTGGACCTGGGTAGTGTCTTCCGGCTGCCATCGCTGAAGCGCAAGGCGTCTCAGGAGACGACACCTCAGGAGAAGACACCTCAGGAGCAGGAATCTCGTGAGAAGACGTCTCAGGACCAGACGCCTTATGACCAGACGCATCAGGAACATGTGCCTCAGACTCAGGCGCCCCAGGAGCCGAAAGAAAAGAAATAGAGTGGCAGGGGTCGTTATACTGTTCGTTATATGATATCCAAGGGGCAACATTTTCCGTCCTTTGATAGTAATAAGAAAGACACTCGTGAAATCAAAGTTGGTCAACAATAAAGAAAAAGGAAAGGAATCTAGATAATTAATAGCCCATTAATCAGTAGTAGGTTGGTTAAAATCATTTTCGAGGTAGACGGTATCAGTATAGTCTTTAATACTTTCAATAACCCTTCCCAAGTAGACTCGGAGATAGTCGGGGGAAGGTTTCGACTACTGAAAGCTATCTGCGTCCAGACTTGTAGGTATATCCGAGAGCGATAGACATTCACAGACCGAGGGAGCTCTGGTGTTTTATGTATTTTCGCATCTGAATTATATTGTTCGCTTCTTCAAAATCAAGGAAGTGAAAGAATCAGTCACTGCAGTCAGGTAAGCGTCGCCTGATCAAGCAGAACTTTCTCA